GTTTAGCGAATGCTAATTTGTCCGGTGCCAGTCGGCGTGGTCTTGCCGTGACTGGTGGTCCGCGGGTGACTATGTGGTGTACCACACGATTGGTCACCGATGAAATCTCCTCGAGTGGTTTAGTTATTCTGGGGAATTTCTCGAATAAAGCGTGGAATTTATCGTCACGCGAATTAAAAGTGCCGAGGATTCGGTACGCGTACATCGGAGTGTATTATAATAATACTATTCTTATCGTTATTCGTCATGTCATATATATATACTAAAAATTTATATGAAAATATATGACAGACGTGGACAGATAAAACAATAGACTCACCGAATTGCCTTCTTTGAAAGATTTGACCGAGGTTGAAGCGTGTTCCAATATTTGGCTCGCCAAATGTAGCGTGGTGTCGAGTTGAGCTTGACTATGAACACCGCTACAAGACTACGTGCCCATTAACCAATAAGATCCCCGTAGGCCAATATCAGAAGGCACATGATGGCTGTAGTCGAGATGTATTTGTTGGCGATCTCGTGGTATCGAAAGAATACCGAGATCGTGCCAAAGGAGTACAAGTGTGGTTACTGAGCGTGACCGGATTCGTACAAGTTCAAAGTCAACGGGAGAGTAAGTATAGTGGCTGTCATTAGCACAGTTAAACAAACGAGCACAGTAAAACAGTCACTGGTACAATTGGTTATAATAATAATTATTTTCATCGAACCAATCGCGTTCTGTTGACAAAAGTAGGTCAGTACAATATAAAAAATTACACTAACTGCGGCATTTTAGCACACCGAAGCATTAAATTACATAGCTACACAAAAGAAATAGCTGAAAGAAGCACAGAACGAAGAAAGCCGACCGCCATTGCTTAAAGATGGCGGAGTCAATGATTCCCGTCTCATTCTGATCGGCTGCTAAGTTGAAGGGCACATTTACGAAATTGAGTTGCGTTTAATTGCAGCCTTATCACAATAAGATAAGCTATGTTAGGTAACCGCAAGATTTGGCGTCAAGGTAAGCTACGAGGTTACAAGATCCCCACCTAGTACAAGTGGTTTGACCATGCATATAGATAACTTGTGCTGGCGGTGTATAGTTCGTTTTTATCTGATTAAAAATGTTTTAATCTGAAATAGAGTGAACAGTACTTAAATTGTAAATGTTTGGGCTCCGAGTTCATAATTTTATCAAACTTATGACTTGGTGTTAGGGATAAGGACTAAGTTTTAAAACTGGAAGATAAACTAAAGAGTTAAAACTAGGGTTCTAATCATGAACTAATTTTAGTTAACCATGAGGATTTTGCGCCAAAATCCAAAACTCAACATCTTGAATTTCAATCGTCCATTCATAATTTATAATTTCTCCGCAGCTGTCATTTACTGAATTCATAGGAAAATGCCTGAAAATGTTTGGTGTTGTACACTCATTGAAATTGCAAATCTTGCATCACCTTGTTCCAAGTCAAGGTCAAGGTCAAGTACTGTTACGGATTAGAAATATCACGTTAACAAACTTAGTTTTGATTGGTAAGTTGTCTCAGCCTAACGCTTGATATCACTAGTTTTTATAGATTGCGTTTCCTCGTTTAACTTAAGCATATCGATCAAGCCATAGAGTTACAATGTTTTCAAAAAGGGCAGTGATTTAGTACTTGTGATTATCTCTACTTTTGTCTACTTGTTGCATCAAAAAGTTTTCTTGGTCTTGCTAATCTTTTTCTTGTGGTACCTTCTTTCTCATTGACTGTAACAGTTTTATTCATATTGTGTTTTAAACCTTCTTAATACGATTACAATGGTTGGCATTACTTATAAATGTGGGCAGCCAAATTGTTTATTCCCCGTAGAGGAAGCAATCCAATGTGATGAGTGTGAAAAAGTGCTTCCGTAAGATATGTACCCACTTAAGTCCCAATCCATACTAAAGATGCTCGAAGCCCAACTCGCATTGGCTTTATATATTTTGCTGTACATATAAAACGTTACTAATCCAGGTGATTATCTTTGGGCTATCAGAAGAAAGGCGGTGGTTGAACCGGTAACACGAGCACTAACACTAGAAGAAGCTTAACTGTAGTATGTGCTGCTACAGGACGCGTTTAACATTTGAATGTGATTGATGGAAAAGTAAAATCTCTGTTAAAACGAATGAGGAGTAAAGCTACACTTGATATTGACATGGGTAGTCATGCATCCAGTGAAAATTAAAGACCCGGATAAAACCATCGCCGTTTCAAATAGTTCTGGTGTGTCTGTCCTGAGTGATGAAAAATGGACTGTAGTATAAAGAATAAGAAATGAAAAGAAAAAAGCTATAAGCTATACGCACTTGCTTGGCAGGTCATTGGTGAACTCCCAGTCTGAGTCACAAAATACACTACCAAAGTCTGATAGTGAGACAGAACTCCACTCTGGCGTGACTGAAAAGAATTTAATCTCATCGAATATTATTGTGAGTAGTTTGCTAGAGTCAAACGATCCTGATCTCAAAAATAGACACGCGCATAATTTGAAAAAGCTCAGAGAATATATCTGTAGCATCTTACCAGATAACTCTAAAGGAGTTAAGGTGAAAAAGTTTGTAAGAATAAATGAGCGGATCGACAATGGTGTTGAACCGCGACCATATAAACTCCTTAAGGTAATCCTAGGGTCGGAGAAGCATCGTGCTCTTCTGCTAAGTGGTCACGACAACACTGATATTTGAATTAGACCTGATATGTCTCTTCAAGATAGAATAAAAAGGAAGACGGTACTAATTGAACTAAAAACCCACCGACAATATGAGGAAAATCTCCGCCTAATGGGTTTTCGAATAGTCAGGTCTTGGAAGCGAATGCTACAAAGGCCTGTGTAGATAGGTCATTCTCCCTAGGAGTTTTATATGCAAAGGCTGGTAGCCTAAGAATTAAATTCTATGAACTAGGAGCAGTAGTTGACAAGGTGGGGTCACTCATTATAGCTGTGACGGAAACTTGGTTAGTTCATGACTTCCACATTACTTCAGAATTATCCGGATACAACTACCTTAGAAGTGATAGACATAGATGTGGGAAAGGTGGTGTTTTTTATGCATAACCAATAGTATAGGTATCCGCTTTTTAGCTTGCGAATCCAATGGTAGTCATTACCTGCGAGCACACTATTGGAGGTTGTACATTTATACTCGGTGTCACCCATCGCAGCGCAATCTACTTAGCTGATGATTTTATTTTGGTGCATAATCACCTATGGAGTGCAAATAACAGATGCTTGATATCAGGAGGCTTTAATGCACCTGATTTTATTTGGACTGAGATGGCTACGGTAGGATCTATAAACTTTGATAGTAAGTTCCTGATAACGGTAATGGAGCATGCATTAGTACAGCATGTATCCAAACCAAGTTTCTTCTTTGTTGGCCTTGGTAATCGCTCGTGAGACTGAGGATATTGCCAACCTAAATTTTCTTCCGTTAGGGAATAGCGATCACGCTGTTTTTTCATTCACGTTTAGAGCTAATGACATGATATATGATCAGGTTAAGCCTTGCCCAAATGTATGGAGAGCTAACACGTCAGCCATTTATGAGTGCGCTGCTGAGACAGATTGGTCAGTAAATACTAGCTCATCAGTTGAAGAAGCATGGTCTGTATTTAAAGATAAGTTTAGTTCAGTTACATTCTCGTTTACACCATGCCTGGTACCATCTAGACCGAATAACTGCCCAACATGGATAACTAAACAAGTCAAAAAACTTCTTAGGCGTAGGAAAAAGCACTGGAATATGTTCATCTCTACTATCTTAGAACAACACAGATCCAGTTATTGTAAGGTTATGAACGCTTGTAAAGCGTTAATAAGTAAAACTAAACAGTCATATGAAAAACAGTTGGCTAGGAAGTGTAAAAATAGTCCAATACGGTTATTCTCATATATAAAAAGGCGAACTCAGAGAAGTGATAGAATTCCATCACTTTTGGTACAAGTAAATCTGATAATCTTGGCAGAAAATGATACTGAAAAAGCTGAAGCTTTATCGGAATATTTCAGTAAAGTGTTTTCTATCAGTAATGAGAAACGACCAACGGTTCATTGTAATCGTGGCGGCTCGCTGATGGATCCTGTGGTCATTGAGAAAGGTACTGTTTTAAGGTTACTTCAGCATCTCAGACCTGATAAGTCCAGTGGTCCTGATAATATACATCTTAGGATTATGAAAGCCATATCAGATGTAATTGCTGAACCGTTAGCGATACTGTCTGACATGTCTTTGAGGCACTCCAGACTGCCCAGAGACTGAAAAGACGCTATAATAAGTCCGGTGTATAAGGCTGGGAGTAGGGATTCAGTTAGTAACTATAGACCCGTTAGCTTAACTAGTGCAGTTGTAAAACTGATGGAGAAAATCATTCAGATATCTGTTATAAATTATGTTGAATGGCGTAATCTTATATCCAGGGAACAACATGGTTTTCGAAAAGGCCCATCGTGTTTGACTAGTCCCATTGCGAGAAAAGATTGGGCTGCGGTAAAAGATCGAAATATTCCTGTAGATGTGATTTTCATAGATCTAAGTAAAGTCTTTGATATGGTCTCCCATTCGGGTCTTAAATTAAAACTGGAAAGTTTTGGAATCCATTATAAGGTCATAGACTGGATCAACGACTTTTTCCATGACTGTCGTAAGGGGTATTATTGGGCTATTCTTAGGCCTTTTCAATATTTGAATGAAGAAATGTTCAGATTATTATACCCAACTTTCGTGCGACCGCATTTGGAATATGGGATTCTAGCAGCAAATCCCTGTTCCAAGTATGAGGTGGATATGCTGGAACAAGTCCAACGACGAGGGACTAAAATGGTGAAAGGTCTATCTTATGGAAACAGACTGAGACACCTCAACTTATTTCCGTTTTCTTACTGCAGAATACGGAGTAATCTAATATTGACTTATCGTATACTGAACGATGACCTTGGTATTAATGTCTTATCTTTTCCTTCCGTCTAGGACTGGTCATTTGAGAGGACATTCTAAGAAATTTCAAAAACTGTGATCAAATCGTCTACGTCTGGAATTCCGTTTCTCGCACTGAGTAGTGAATTACTGGAATTGTTTACCAGAACACGTAATATCAGCACCTTCTGTTGATATATTCAAAACAAGATTGGACCTCCACAGTATTACAAACTGTAAGGATTAATATAGGTCGATAGACCTATCCTTGTTACTGAAGACTTGCCCTCATTTCCAGCTGTTTCATTGCACTCCCCATCGCTACTAAAGGTACCTTCAAACAAGACGCAACCCACGGAAGGCATGACGTACGTATGTTCGTCGTGTAAGGCTGATGTGTCTGTCTCAGAAAGAATCAATCATGTCAGGAGCGACTGGCATATATACAATCTAAAGCGTGTCGTTTCTGGTCTACTGCCGATATCTGAAGATCTATATGTACATAAAAAACAATTAATTGCTGCAGAAACACCTGTGGCTATAGAGGTTCGAAAAATTTGTTTCATATTTTTATCCTAGAAAACTTATTGTGACGCCTGCAAGAAATCCTTCGCAAATAACAAATCTTTTGCTGCCCATCTGATTTCGAAGCGCCATATACACAACAGCCACTTGTTCAAAACGTAAGCATTATATTTATTATTATTATTTTATTTTAACATAGATATTGGTACAAGGAGGCACCAAATACATGTGTGCCACACAGATCTCATTTGATATGTGTGAGGGCTATGATACTGCCCGGGTGCCCAGACCGAAGCAAGTGGTCTTCTTAGGGGGCCACGCCCCGAGCCTTCGACCTAAAGGTCTGACCCACAAGGCAGTGGAGCATCGTGAGGAGATGCAATCCCATGGTAGCCGGTGACCAAAAGTTGGTTCATACGCCATTTGTTCCTTCAGGACACTGGAGCCCATGTGCACCATTGATTTGGGATCCGGTTAAAGCGCCGGACATTCGCTTTTCGTCCTCTCATTTTCGTAAACAACATCCCTGCCACGGGAAGGCAGTGAGTAGGACTTCCCTGGCAGAGGCTGTATACGCGTGGCCATGTGAGAGTATTTCAAGAGGGAGAAAGGACTCTCCCCACTCTCGGCCGTATCAAGGCATTTGAGGGAAAGCATTATATTTCTAAATCCACATTCTTCCAAACCAACGGGTTGCTTATTGCGTTGGTTTTATTATAACGTTTGCAAAGCTTCGTTGTACTAGCCATCACTCAACATACAAATTAGTTCCTTTCAGCTTTGACCATCGGTAGAATTTCAGATGCAATAGATGATAGCCTGTATCAAAACATAAGCACAAACATCTGAGATAAAGGCTGAGTTTCATTTTAAGGTGAGCACTTCACATATATCAGTTTTCTGTCGTGATTGCACTCAATTTTACTCAACCATTATCTGGACTTCTGCTTCTCATTTATTGTATCGTGATGAGCTTAAGAGTTATATGTTTTTATATTCCCAGTGTATCTTCGATTTTGTCTGAATTTTATCTCGATATTGGTCGCATCTCCAACGTTTGCTCATATTCATGCATTTATGAACCGTTTGTAACTTTGATATTTATTTATTTAAGCACATAAATATTGGTACAAGAAGGCACCAAATATATATGCGCCACACAAATCATTTGATTTGCGTAAAAGGTACATAATATTAGTTTTATTGAACTCGTAAATATCGGCACTCTCCTGATGTTTTATTCAGAATCACTAGGGGTAGCAATTGAGTTCTATAGATTAAAAATACGAGTTCAATAAAGAAGGGTAATTATTGAACCACATCGATCGTTATTTTCACGACGTTTTTTTCACCTATATAATCACCATTAATATATATATATATATATATATATATATATATATATATATATATATATATATATATAAGGCCTATGATATACTTATTCCTATTGTCTTTAGGAAAACTGGGCGGACAGTCATCAGTTCTACTAAACCTACAGCAGAAGACTGTTTGACAGAACCATTACCACTGGGGTCATGTTTGTTCTGTGACCGCTACATATCACTGAATTGTTTGCCGAATGAGTCACTTGATAGTGCCAAGCAAAGTGATTTGGCCAAACGTGTCCTAAATCACATGTTCGATGTGCACAAATTTAGTGTTCCATTTCCAGAAAGATTAACCGATCCTGCCGGGTTGTTAATTGAATTAGGACGTATTGTGGGGGAGGAACGCTGTTGCTTGGCATGTGGTCGTCAGTTTTACGGTAGTTGTGTGGAAGGATCAGACAATGCTCGGATCTCCCTATCTGCTGTCCGCAGTCATATGCTGGACAAACCTGGCCACAAACAAATATGGTTTGGAGTAGAAGACCCCGTCCAAGTGGCACTATTGGTAGCTAAGGCAGAAGAAGAGTCAAATGACGATTGCAGGATAAATTACCCTAAAGCTGCTCTCGCAGGTGGTGAGCTGTTTAGTCAGTTTTACGATCAGTCAGTCGTTGCACCATCTTTCATACTTGTAAGTTGTTTTTTACCCCTGATTGATGAATTAAAGCGAAGCTTAACTACTCAAATTATCCAGGAGTTTATTCATGTAAACTAGAATCTTGAGTTAGTCTGATTTGTACATTATTAACCAAAAACCTACTTGTTTCCATTTTTGCATCAATCTCATACACGGGACAATAGTGCGTTTTTTCTCATCGTTAGCTCTTTTAACCTCTCCATTTCGAGACATTTAGTAATAACCTTACACTCGGGGACAAAAATTAATCTATCTGTATATTCAAAAAACGATTTTGTGATACAATATGACAGACTATACGCTAGATAGATAAAGTGACAGTTTGGAGATACGGAAGTAGGAACAGTTATCATTATCTCTTATTAGTATGACTTCACATATCTAGAAGAGAGAGAAATGAGCTGGTAGTTTTTGCCTGGAAGAAATCAGATGTAGTTACTTTTGAAACCTCACTTCACATACATACCCTCTTATGTATTTTTTGCAGAGACAAGTTTTAAATCACCATATAAATTTATTGCAAGGTAAATAGCCATTAATATATAATGTTATCGTTTCTAAGTCATTTATTTTATAATTCATCACCACTCATTAAGTTCCTGATCAGTACTTTTACCTATTGAATTCTAGTCGGATGATGAAGACGTTTATGAAGTACGGTTACCATCTGGTACTGTTCTAGGCCATCGGAAGATGAAAACAATTTATAAACAACACTTGGCTACTACAGATGAAGCTAAATTATCGAACCGTGATAATGGACAGAAAAGCGTTTCAATACGACATCCAAACTTCAAAGCCTTAATACAAAATAGATCTAATGCTGATTCTGAGAGACATTTAAACGAACAAAGAAAGTACTGGGATTTAGTAACTGGTGTTCAAGGTAATTTCCACAATCGCCTTCATCTTCGCCGACAGTACTAGATATTTGAGAGTTTAATAAAATGTTAAAAAATCTATTTGTATAATGTAATATAGTTTTCGTTCTTTTTCTATTGACTTATGGCCTTGTATATAGTCATTTAGTGTTGATTCACTAATAAACTAGTTATATTTATAATATGTTTACGATCATGTTTATCTGGGAATCCTAAAGCTGACCCTAATCTAGCTCCCATCAGTGATGAAAATCTTAACCTACCATAATTGTGATACTTTATTGTAGAATATTAAAATATTGTCGTCGTGACATACCCATAGTTATGTTAATTTGTTAAAAAAAGACTGGTAAATCAGTAGCCCACAAATGCCCTGGTACGACTGACAGTGGGGAGAGTTAGCATCCCCTCTCGAAATATTCACATGGCCACGTGTATACAACCACTGTCAGAGAAATCCTACTCAATGCCTTCTCGTGGAGGGGGTGTTGTTTACGAAATAGAGAATACGAAAAGCGAATGTCCGGCGCTTTAACTGGGTTGGTGAATATGGAGGATTGATCCACATAGGAGAGTTGTAAAATCCTGATTCCAAACCAATGGCGCATATTGGCTTCAGGGTCCTAAGGAAACAGAAGGCGTATGAACCAAGTGTTAGTCACTGGCTACCATGGGACTGCATCTCCTGACGTTGCTCAAGTGCGACGTAGATGAGACCTCTACGTCAAAGGCTCGGGTAGTGGCGTCCTGGCAGTGCCCCAGCCCTCACACAAATCAAAAGGTTTTTGTGATACATATATAGTTGGTGCCTCTCCGTACCAATGTGTTTAAATAAATAAAATAAAATGACAAATCAGTTACCAAGTTTCTAAACTATCTTACAGATTACGTATGCGAAGAACAAAACATGTGAAGATTCCTAGTGCTCTACAAAACCATTGTTACTGTAGTGGAGAAAGTTTTCTCACTATTGGCTTTTCAATTTCATCATCAGTATGTCCATATTGATATCAATGAATTTTAAAACTTCCAGGATTGTGTATACACCCTCTTAGTTTGTAAAAATGAAAATGTAATGAAGTTCAAAAATTGTATGTTCGGTCACTTGATGGGAAATAAGCTCGTACCTCTTCAGTTTGTCTGCTTATTTAGCTTGCTGTGTAGCATTGTTAACAAGGTGTGATGATTGAAAAGTACAATGAATTGGTAATATTGCACTTAAGCGCAACGGTAAGACCCGAAAACGTTTAAATTCAAAACCAGAAGTATGATGTCCTATTACAAAATAATGAAACACTTAGTGTCCAAAGATTTAAATAGTCATTCACAACACAGAGGCTTCACCAGCAGTTTGCAGCTCCTCTTGACACCATACCATGATTTCAAAGAAATATAAGTAGATCCTTAACAAACTTCATCCGGAACGTAAAGTATTAGTGTTTCTCTACCTTAAGTACTGTCTTGCTAATAGTCAAAGATTTGCGGCAAAAAACAAGTAACCATGTCATTAAGTTTCAACTGATTCTGAAATTTACAATTGTAAAAGGTTTTGCACAGTTTGGAATTTGATTTTACAGAAAGTTCATATGCATTAGTGTTTTTATTAATAAATCTGTTTAGCACATACACACAACACACGAAGTATTGTCGACCTTTAAAAACATCCTTAGTGTGATCACACGCTTTCAGCTGTTATTACTTTCTGTGAGATCCCATACTTTAATCCTCCAAATGCCCTAGTATGGTAGGGCTGGGAAATCCCACCCCCTCCCGAAATGCTCTCATATGGCCACTGCTAGGTAAGTTCTGTTCATCGCCTTCTCGTGGCCGGAAAATCGAGAGGACGAGAAGCGAATATTCGGCGCCTAAATCGGGTTGGTGGGTACTGTCAAAACAAGAAAGCTTTAGAAACTTGATTTCAAACTGGTGCTGCACATGGATTCCAGGATCTTGAAAGATCAAATAGTGCATTAACCTACTGGTCGCCGGCTACTATAGGACTGTATCTCCTCAAGTTACTCTACTGTCTTATGGATTAGATGTGTAGGTTAAGTACTTGGGGTGTGGCTCCCTAGTAAAACCATTTGCTGCAACTGAGGGGTCCGGGCATTAACCTAGCCCTCACACACCGAATGACGAAGTGTGACACACATATATCTGATGCCTCCTTGTACTAATGTTAATGTGCTTAAATAAACTCATTCGTATTGTTCGAATATCGTTCATGTTTAGGACAAGTCTCCTTTACCATATTTGCGGATTGCTCTAGTATTGTGATTACGTTACAAGCATTATAAGCAGTCGAGTGGTGTCTAGAAGTGGGATGGATGACATGCATTGTTTTGTTCGGGATTCGTCCCAGAGTTGGCTTTCATCCAGTACTATTCACTTCAAACGCCACCACGCAGTCGACTTAGCTGCTGAGTCTAGATTAATTTGTATCAATTGTTTGGATCTCCCCATTAGTAACTAGAACCACAAATTCCAAGTTGTTTACTGAGAGTAATCTCACTTAACTAGGAAAAACTCAGCAATTTCAAAATCTCACAATCCACGTCATCGTTTTAGGTTTCAATGTTATTAATTATTGTACGGTTAATTTCTCCGAATACAACGATTGTAATAATTACTAAATAAGCAGATTTTTGCTAACTAGTAATGTAGCTTCATTGTAAGGTTTGCAGCAAGCGATACTAATTGATGTTCCATCAAAAATCCCATCTGAAAAATAGACAGTATCGGAAGCGTACAAAATGTTACTTACAGTTAATGAGAGTAATCGTACTATCCATGTCGTATACATCAATCTGGATAATTCGTTTGCACAACAATGCCACTCATCACTTGCAATGTTTAGGTTATGTTTGCTGAAGTCTACTGAACTTGTCTGCAAATAACTTAAATGCACGCTACGTAGAAGATTTACTTGCAATAGGTCGAAAGTATATTACCACTACATGGGTATCAATATCAAATTTCGAGGATGTGAGTTGAGTGTAACATGTATAATGAAGCTATACTTATAGCTTAGGCTGATCCTTTTGATTGTCTCTCTTCTGAGTTCGGTCGTTTAATTGCGAAGCATTCATTGGCACCAATATTGGCCAGAACGACAGTGGAAGCTTCGCAATTAAACCATAGTCTAGAGTGTAAACAAGATTAATGTCCCCAAACATCTGATCTTCAGTTCATGGACTATACTTTTAAACGACTTAATTGTCAATGTTTAAAGAAATAAACAATAAAACTTGGAAAACCTCTTAGCTAATAGATCCTATTTCTTTTTGATTGATGCGAAATCCCTTCCAACGAAAAACATACACAAAGAAACTTTTTCAGTATGTGAATCATTTACTTTGCTCTCACATTACCTCGCATATATAAAATTTGTTCATACAATTCAATTAAATACTGATTGCTAACAATAATACAAACGAGACAAATAGGATAATAAGCATGAACAACTTTGTTTTAAAAAAAATAATAAGAAATGAAAACTGTTATCAAGAGTTCAAATTAAGAAACACTGAAAGGAGAAAAACATGCTAAATATTTATTTGTGTGTAACAAACCTATCATCATCCCTCATGGATTGAAAATAATAGTGAAAAATGTGCAAAACTTAAAGTAGAAGTTAATATTCGATAAGCAAGTTTATCCATACTATTATCTGAGAGCAGTAGATGAACGAATGATTGACTGATAACAATAACAAATATGTCAAATTCTAATAACCTCTAGATAATATGAACAGGAAATGAATAGCACTAACCAAAACTGATAAAGTTAAGAATATATGGTCATATATGCACCTAGAAGGATGGATATTTATCAAAGTAGTTCAATATAATAATAGAGGAAAGGAATTGAGGTTATTGTTACAATTAGAAGTAAAAATTTCTAAAACAATTCACAACTACAAATCAAATTTTCCTAAAGTTATTTGTATATATAACATATTACTGAAAAAGAAAAGAACCATTAATAAAGAACATAAGCTTTCATCACATTTATAGCACAGGTTGGGATACATTGTTTGTGAGTGTTTTTATTTACTGGCAAATAATAAATATGTAGAACATTTCAAAATTGATATCCATTCATGCGGGTTAATATTAGCAACGATAATGTACACAATCCAAACAAAATGCGCAAATAAAGGTCAATTGGAAGAAGACTGTAAATTATGCATAAAATTAGGAGAGAAAATGTTTTGGCTCGTTTATTTGGACGATGCTGTAGACTAAAATGAGATAAATTTGTTGGAAAGTTATCATTTCTTCTTACTCAGAATTACTGTCATTTACCATTACAACAACACATTCAAACAGAAATGCATTGTCAGACATTAAATTATAGTACTTAAATATTAAGATATTGATTTCTCTGTATTGTACGGGTGTCAGAATGCGTAGTAGTGGTGTTGGCAATACTCTTAGTTTAAAAATCATCAAGAACAACTGTAGACATGAAAAGTCAAGTTAATTTATTACCAGTGTATGCCACTAAGGGTCATCATAGATACTTGGGGTGGCCCAGACCGTGTATTCGAGAAAAATACCTGTAGTAATGTAAACAAATTATTTTGACAGGTCACATTTCTTAAGAAATAAAAATTATAGATATTTAAAATTTAACGACAAAAATAAAAGAACTGAGTATTACCCCATGCTCTTTTGAAGGAAAGTTAGTGTCAATCAAGCAACATCTAGTCCTGACTCTCCAAAAAGCACTTTTATATTGACGTACAGTCTGCAATACACACTGATAACTAAAATCTTAGTAGCTTCTATGTTAAGCCTTCTGAAGTAGTCATAGCAATTTCACGGTTGAATATTTGTTAAAGGATTCAGAGCTTTAGTCTCACTCGATCAGCCTATGATTCTGTTTTCAAAAGCCTATTTGGCTGGAAATATCAGTTTTGTTACCTGTGGTCATTTCACTACTTCGTCAATCAAGTGTGTCATCGTAAAGCTAAGTATGCACTTTGAACAAATTACTAAGCAAGTCAGTTTCATTTCTTCTAAGTTTTAGTTCGTCATAATAACTGTAATTAAAATTCAGAAAACGTTCCAAGATTTCAGTTAAACCATTCTAGATGAATTAGTTTGATGCAATTACATCAAGGACGATAACTTGTTCCGAAAGAATGGTACAGTTAATTTTAAACAATTCGAACTTTTAGATATCATCTGTGTTGGGATGATCCAGAAAAATTCTCGCAAAAGACACGTAAGTATCAGGAAACATTAAGAAGCACTTCATCCAATCAGCGTTCACTTGGAGTTTAGCCAGAAAACATTAAGGATGTGAAACGTCACATTTAGAGGTTCTGATTGGCTGGTTGTTGTACTGCTACTATGTTTAGTAGCATTCCAGAATCTTCGAGCAACCCAAGGACATTTAAAATATTATAAAAACCTTATGTTTTCTGTATTAGAATGAACCTTGGAGTAAAGTACTTTTCGCATACTTTGCGTCTTCCCTCGTGTTCAGGTCGATGTTTAGTTCTCGCTTGGGGGTTACAAGAATAGCTTAGGAACCGAGTATAGCGTTCAAATTGCAAGACTTATCAATCTGTAACACTTACAGTGTAAAATAATGATTGCACATTTTAGGGCATCTTGTGGAAAAACGTTTTTGGATTTATTAAGGATATTCTTCAATTTAATGATCATATCTATTATACATGGAATGAATTGTGCAAGAGACCCATATGATATTATCTTGCTTGAATATCTAATTCAATATGAAATCATGCGTTCTTTCCAAGTGAATTCTACCAGATAAGTTAAACCATTACAATCAATCAATAAAACAACTGACCTTATCATTACGTTCACAAAGAAATTTGAATTTCTGTTCACGTTTATGCATGAATACTCCGTCTAAGTGTCCAGTTTCGGCTGATCTAACTTCAATAGCTTTTAAACCCCAACCAAGTAATTGACCGGTAGATATATAGGCTACACAAGTCGGAACTTCACCCCATTGGATAACAATATTTTTTGTTAATTTTCCATTAGTATCTACATAGACACCTTCAGCTAAAAAGAAAATCGATGCAAGAAAGCGGTTTTACAATAGGTCCATATTACTCTGTGAAAGGCGCTGATCACAAGAAAACCAATCAAATGCAAGTTTTTACTTAACGTAGCTATTATTGTTCTGACGATGGTCTTTATCCTTGACAGATAGATCGAAGAACCACTGAAAAATATGAAAATTTCCAATGTTGGCAGATACAATACATCAATTCCAAGGTTAAAGTGTTTTCAAAAAATGTCACTGTCAGGAATTCAGAAAGTAAAATAGTCACAGTACTGTGAAGTTACAAACCGATTTGATGGCTTCCGGTGTTCTATGTAAATAGTTTTAGCGAAAACGCCGATATTTCATGGAATAAAAATGAGTATGGTTAACAAGTCCCAGACAATTTGCTTTCATTTAATCTATAAACGCTAAACATTTACTATTGTAGTACAATGAAATGTGAACTAATAAATCGATAGTAATACATGAGTATGAATAAAACTTACTATCGTAGCATAAAAGTAACTGCATACCACCTGTATTAGGAAGTACTACTATACAATGAGGAGTAATATGTGAATTAATCTAAAAATGAAACAAGGAAAAAGCACAAAAATGAAATTTAAAATTGATATTTTAGGAGGGAGAGAAACAATCATCATCCTACAAAAATATTCAACACGGGATTGGCAATTTTGAATGTAATCAAATTCGATTACGTGATTGATTTCTGTAGGAATTAGACTAATGAATACGTTTTCATCAAATAACTTTTGTTAAGTCCCTTTTCACATGATAAATAAACAGGTATGAATTCCATGATAATGCGTTGTTGTCCTGCTGGACTAGCTTCTAAATACCAGATGATGTTGGGTTCTTTTCAGTCAATGTATGATAGATATAAGCTGCTATATTTTACAGAGTAGTTCGGACAGACAAGATAGTACTTGTTTCTAATAATAACTTTTTAATAAAATACACCAATCCTCACTCTCCACATAAAATAATCACTATTTCCGAAAATAAAACTTAGACTCCTTCATTATTACTTTTATGCATGTAAGGAATCTAGGATTGATTTGAAAAATGTTTGCATCTTTATCAGAAGCACAAATTTATGGTAAATGCCAGATGACTCATGCACATTATTGTATAGTAAACAATATAAACAAATTTACAAAACGATATCCTACCAAAGAAGGCATATATAAGTCGAATACTATATTTGAATCCAAATCAATAGCATGAAAACCATTAGATGAACCATATACAACTTTTAAACGGGTATTCTCTTCAACGGTTAAATCTACCAATAACGGTCGATGTTTGAGTTCAGAGAATCTCTGGTGAGAAACGAAGAAGAATAAATACAAGAGAAATACAAAATATGACAGATAGTCCTATAAAATATCTAACACATCCATATTTAAATAATAATAATATACAATTTCTGTGAATGAAATCGACAAGAAACCAAGACACCGATTGGGGTAAATTAGTGGAATGACATGGAAGCATGTTTATTATAATGGTCACATTGTTCAGTTGATTAATTATATCAAACGAACATTCACATTGTTATCTCATTTGTTGACTTAGCTTCCTTTTTATCACAACCTTATCATAAAAGGCTATCATAGTATTCAATTATTTATGATAAAATCTACTAAAAGTATCCACTAGGGAGGATGAAATATCACGTAAAATTAAGTCATTACAGTGTTTTAATTAGTATAGCTAGGCTTGCAGACAGCAGAATTTTTATAGTTTGAATCACGGGCTGAGTTTAGCTAAACAACTACTGAAAACCAGGAACGACTCGATAGCTTTGTCAGTTTAGTATGGAATTCATCAACAGTGCTCATTTACGACCACACCTGAACCGAACCTAGGGCCTTCAGTTTCGTTTGCGAGAGCTTAACCTTTAGATCATTAAGCCGACATCCGATGATTTACATGTCTGACTTCAATAGATTAGCGATACTGAGTGACCATCTTCGATTGCCTGCAGTGGACAACTATCTCATGCAGAACAATGTTGAACTCCACTAGTTATTGCTTTTCACCAGAGATGCGAGAATTTCGTCTGGAACCTAGCCACCGGTGAGCACATGATTATTATTAGTAAAGGAGGATTTGTGTAGATTGCAGAATTTAATAATTCAAATTGACTCTACTATAGGTTCACATCATTGATCAATATAAGAAAAATTCTTGCTGGGAACTAGAGAGCCCTGAGTACTAATAAGCTTCTCTTAGTCCAGAAGACTCCAGAAGTAAATACTCTAAAATCCAGGATATCTAATAATAATATTACTACTGCATATACAAAACAGGGGTCCAGAATGAGTAATATACGATCCCCAGCTAACAAGAAAACTTGTACGTAATTTAAAAGCTTATTCGATGAGCGAAATATATGATTGACCGACCAACTCAAATACCACATACAAAGTGCTATGGACAACAACATCACATCCAAAAAAAAAAAAAACAAACAGAGAAAACTGAAAGGAGGGTTAAAAGACTTGAGGATATTTGAGAAAACACCAAAACTAGAAGATGGAAGGTTAAGTGTATGCTGTTCAACTATTTAGATAAAATAAATAAATGGATAAATGTATTCCAATTCCAATTTATTATAGGCCACATTACCAACAGTAACAACCATTTTCCTGTGACTCTCGCATTAGGGTCCGAACCAAAAACCAATGAATTCCTCTAATATTCTTCATACACACAACTCTATTAACTGCCCTCCTCGTTTAACTAAAACATTTGCGTTTCACTGTTTGATTACAAAATTCACTCATTGTTATGATTTACTCGTCATACTGTTTTATTTTCAAAATAATGTCCAGTTAAATCGGAAATACTAATACGATTTGGTTATAATGAAAACTTACTTTAAAAGCCATAAATTTATGATACGGACGAGGTGCCCAAGCATAAATCTCTACAGAATCTCTCAATGCGATGACAAGAAATTTAATTTTTTCATATTTTACTGTGAAAAAAATTTTAAAAAATCAAAAGGAGTGAAAATAAAGAAAACAAATTAAACTGTTACTGGTTAAAAATAATTGTTGTGTTTTATTTTTTCGATAAAGTTGTGAAAAAACTAACATCATCAGAAGTATCCATACTGTTGTATAGTAAGTCTTGTGTATTAGTAAAAGTCTTGGACTCCACGCCTGGTAACAATATAGACAAATCATTTCCAAAACATTCACATCACGTTTTATATAATTTTGGATGACAGGTAAAGCTCTATCATTCAGCTAAACAGTGCATATAATACCATAAAAGTGAAAATCATCCAACATACAAAATATTCGGAGCAACTATGTTTATGGAACCAACAGGCCAGTAACGTCTCAGTTTTTAGAATATATTTAGAAAGTGGTTAAATTTTCAAAAGAAATTCTTTAAAAACGTACAAAATTATGTAAGGATAACATAAGATCGATATAAGTATTTTTAAGGGACCTAAGACATACGGGACCGTACGGTGTATATATACTGAGATGACCAGTATATATATGAAACATTGAGAATCGGACTTACCAATTTTAAAATGTACAGCACCTTGTAAATTTTCACCGACATTAACCCAACCATTCTTTTTGTCACACTAGTTAGGAGAAAATGAAACGTTGATAATCGATCTGTTTATGCAAATGTTGAGCAATGCTTAAAAATTCATAAGTTAGTCTGAAGTTCAGTTGACATACTTCGTTACAGTTTATTATTTAAAGAAAAACCAATAACAGTCTAAAAATAATTCTACTTTTAATCGGAAAACTTGTTAAGGTGCGTCACACACCATTCATTTCAGGAAAGAATTCAATAACTTCAGAGTCTGAAGATGATTACCTTCATTATAGTAAGTTACATTTTCAGTTTCAATCAACTGGTAACTTAATATTTGTGTAGTACGTTTTAGTGTGGATAACCAGGGAATTAGAAAGTTTTTGATTTGATTTCTAATAATATGTATGATTGAAGAGTCCTTCAATAGTAAACTGAAAGGATACACTTCAAAAAGAAATATTATGAAATAAAAATAGTTGAATAATACTCAGACCTAATATTTAGAGAATAATAAAAAGTGGATCTGTTTATACAATTATGACCCACTTTAAGTTTTGCCCCCAAATGCCCTGGTATGGCCGAGAGCGGGGAGGGTTCGCCCTCCCTCTCGAAATACTCTCACATGGCCACGCGTATACAGCCTCTGCCAGGGAAGTCCTACTCACTGCCTTCCCGTGGCTGGGGTGTTGTTTACGAAAACGAGAGGACGAAAAGCGAATGTCCGGCGCTTTAACCGGATCCCAAACCAATGGTGCACATGGGCTCCAGTATCCTGAAGGAACAAATGGCGTATGAACCGATTTCTTGGTCACCGGCTTCCCTGGGACTGCATCTCCTCACGATGCTCCACTGCCTTGTGGACTAGACCCTTAGGTCAAAGGCTCGGGGTGTGGCCCCCTAAGAAAACCACCTGCTTCGGTTTGGGCACCCGGGCAGTATGTCAGCCCACACACAAAAACTTGATGAACACTCTACTAATGGAAAATATCCTTTTCGCCCCGATTAGCGATCAAATAGCTCGCATTATTATTATTTTACCACGTCATTTATTCAACCTCTCTTATTCCTACTTTATGTATCCGTTTCGACCTAGACAGCAGCTCACCTATAGTGAAAATTCAGCTTTATCTTAACGTTCTCGAGTCACTGCCTGGTTGAAAATTGTATGTTACCACCGAATACGAGTACTGAAGCAGTTTTTCTGAAACCACGTACACCATTCAAACTGGCTGCCTTCAACGTTCGCACACTTATGCAGGTCGGACAACAGATAGGGCTGGCTATGTCTTTGGAAAGTCTTAATATTGACCCGCCATTTTCATGGCGGGTCAAGTCAGTTGTGGGTTTGCGAAACGTCACGCTTACAAGCACTGTTAGCAAACTGGCTGCAACTTCTGTTGCTAGTATGTACCGAACCGAGCTAGCTTCTAGGCTAGCTACCACTCCACCGAAAAGTATAGATGAGCATTGGTTGCCATTGCATGACGCCATGAAAATGGCGGGTCAAGTCAGTTGTGGGTTTGCGAAACGTCACGCTTACAAGCACTGGGTTTCTTCTGGTTCCTTACAACTGATTGAAACCCGTCGGTCTACTCCGGGTGACCGTGAGTTTGACCACAGAAGAAGGATGTTACGTAATGAAATCGGGCAAAGCTTGCGTAAGTACGGTGAAGCCTGGTGGTCGGAGCGTGCTAATGAGCTGGAAGCAGCAGCTGCATCTGGTAATTACCGGAAGCTCTTCCAACTCATCCGAGCCGCTGGCAGCAAGAAGTATGGTGTGAGCGAAACAATCTGCGAGGATGACGGAACGCCAATCACTAACATCCATCGACGTCTTGGACGATGGGCAGAATTCTTCGGAAGGCAGTTCAACTGGCCTGCTGCTCCGGCAACATCGGTCAGACTGTCCTGCCCTCCATGGCCGGTGACGACTGATCCACCAAATGAGGCGGAAGTCCGCAAGGAACTCCAACTCTTGAAACTCTACAAATCACCAGGCCCAGACGACTTACCTCCGGCTCTTTTTAGAGATGGTGGTGACTTTCTGACTAAGGGACTGACGACGTTGTTTACAAAGGTCTGGGAACTAGAGAGTGTACCAACGTCATGGAATGAGTCGATAGTTGTCCCTATCTTTAAAAAGGGTTCACGTCGTTCCTGTAACAACTATCGGGGGATAAGTCTACTTCCGATTGCGTCCAAGCTATTGGCTTCCATTATACTTCGTAGGTTGTTCAAAACCCGAGAAAGATTGACTCGTGAGGAGCAATCTGGGTTTCGTTCTGGTTGAGGTTGTATTGATCATATCTTCACCCTCCGCCAAGTGTTAGAACACCGCCATACTTATCAAAGGCCAACAATCTTAGTGTTTCTTGATATCAGGGCTGATTTCGATTCGTTGGACAGAACTGTTCTCTGGGATTGTCTATTGAAGAAGGGTGTGCCTGAGAAGTTTATTAACATCCTAAAAGCCCTATACACAAACACCTCAGGCAGAGTGAGGGCATACAACCACCTTTCTCCACTATTCCATTCAAGCAGTGGAGTTAGGCAGGGTTGCCCAATCTCACCACTCCTCTTCAACTTTACCATCGATGACATTCTGGGAACAGCTCTGATGGATGTAAGTAATGGTGGTGTGGATCTGTTACCTGGAGAAAGACTTCTCGACCTTGAGTATGCGGATGATATTGTCTTACTGTGCGAGAATGCCCAAGTCATGCAATCCGTACTTAATCAGTTGGCAATCAGTGTCCGTAGGTATGGTATGTGCTTTGCACCTTCGAAGTGCAAAGTTCTTCTACAAGACTGGCAGGATTCTAATCCTGTACTCACTCTGGATGGTGAGCAGATAGAAGTGGTCGAGAAGTTCGTGTATCTAGGTAGCTGCATAAGTGCTGGTGGTGGTGGTGTGAGTGATGAGATCAATGCACGTATAGTGAAAGCCAGAGCGGCTTACAATATGGGTCATCTTTGGCGCCTTCGTGATGTTAGTCTGGCTGTAAAAGGTCGGATCTACAACGCGACGGTGAGAGCAGTTTTGGTCTATGCTTGTGAAACACCGACTTCGGTGGCTTGGACATGTTCTACGAATGTCGTCCCAGAGAATTCCTCGTCGTGCATTATTTGCCGACTCTGGGACTGGTTGGAAAAAGGGGAGAGGCAGTCAGTATATGACATGGTGTCGTGGTATGAAAGAAAGCTGCAAAGGGCTAGCTTCTGTTGATCCTTCACGACTCCCTGGCTGGGGTCCGAGAGACGGTGTAACGCAGTGGCTAGAGACGTTATCAGATATGGCTCAGAATAGAAGCCGGTGGCGATCCTGCTGTAACCTTCTTTTACTTTCTTCATAAAAAGTGGTTGTATCTTCCTTAACTGAAAGATTTCTTCTGACTGTACCTTTCCGTTTTCCCCATCATTGTTCTCTCTCTCTTTTTTTTTTCATAATTCCCCACGTTCATTACCTTTTTTTTCTCCTTCTCTTCAAATTATCATTGTTTTGTGTGGCGCATATATATTTGGTGCCCCATTGTACCAATATTTATGTGTTCAAATAAATAAATTATGACCGACTTTAAGTTAGTATCTAAAATCTCCAGGTATGTATCGTCTTACAGACACTAACCAGGAAAGTTTGTAACTCCCAATATAGTTCAGACTAATAATCAATGATTTAGTCTGATCTCCCTCTGGAAATTTTTTCAAATTAATTTTTAATGCTAGTCAGCAGAACAAAATGACAGATTCATACTATTGTATACTAAACATTCAAATAACACTATAATTTACTTACTCCTTCCGTTTTCATAATTTTACTACGAAGCCAAGATAAATAGTAGACGCGTACACGATTTTTACGTCCAGATATAGTAACTAAAATATTCTGACCTTCTAAAACAGCCATCCTTGAAAATCTTCGTCTTGTAATTAACGAATAAACTACAAAATTTTGATCGGGAAATAAAGTAAAATGAAAACAAAACAGATGAATGAAAAAAAGAACATCGAATTTTAAATGTGACTTTATTAACTGAAAAAATACTGTTCTAGAATCCCAAGTTTAACGGTATTCATTAAATACAACCCGAACGTCAATTTTCTTTCACGGGTCACTAGTGGAGCAGAGGTAAAATAAACAAATGAATTTCTTTATAACAAATGCAAAAAAAACTAAAAACTAGAACACAATAATGTAGAGCATATTTCCACCTACATTTAAAGAGATTATAGATTTTGTATTAAACAAAATGAGTTAGCCAAGTACTTTTGGAATAAATCCATTTTGAATATTTTATAAAAACAACAGATGACATTCTAATAAAAATAAATTGAATAGCGATGAATTTTTAGTTATCTTGTTACGTAGTTGTATAAACTACTTCAAAGTTAATCAGCGAGTTAGTTAGTCATAACCAACAAAGAATCTGGATTAGATCAAGTCAACGTATCATATCAGCGCAATCACGAACAATTATCAAGACAAATGATACAGTAGTAGAAATACTAACAGTATCAGTGGTAGCAGAAAAGATTAAACATAGCGTCAAAACCAATAAGTACCATAAATAACGAAATACCTATTTTCATTGATTCGCAATATTATTAGGCTGCAGTCCTTTGAATAATGATATTTTCATAAAAAATGATCAATCAAAGCATATAATTCGTCATGGATTAAAGAAAAAAACCACTCAATCACATTTTTCTGTTACATCATATAAGTTTAAATAAGGGTAAACGTTCAAAGTTGCGCATTTTGTAGGTTTTTACTTTAAAAAATCAATCAAATTTTTAGATGAATACACCAATAAAAAATTTGGAACTTCACAAAATTTAGTGAATGTTATTTTATTTAAACGATTTATGCAATGAGAATATCCCATCAAATAATAGCTAAACGCACAGCGACGACAAAAGACTTTAACAAAATGAAGAAATCTATATCAGATCCTCGAAATAACATATCTTTCCTCCAAAATCCAATAAATATTAAGGATCTTGTCAATATACTCACGAAATGTCCAGAGTCTGCACTCGCAGATTACGCTTTGTTTCCAAGTAAAACACGATGTTACAATTTTTGCATACTTTATAACCATGTGAAAAATTACTCCTAAACAAATGAGCCATCACGTTCTACTTTATTGCAAATAAAATGTTCAAATGACGAATTCATTTTGAAATCAGAAACACACCTGCTTTATTATACAAAACTAACACATCTCATACTCTTCGAACTGATTTTCACTGGAATAAAACTTCATGAAGATGAAGTGAGGGAACACAAAATTTGAGTTTAGACCGAACAAAACACACCTAAAGACGTTTATCGTTTACATCATCAACTGGTTTTGCTCAGATAACCGTTGGGAACCAGGACAAGCTAGTGTGGGTCTCCTCAGTAGTACGCGTCAAGTAGTTTCGGACAATTTCAGTTTACAGTCAACACATTTCTATTCATGTAAAATTTCATGACTGTGTAATATAATAATGCATGTACATATGCAATAATATATATATATATATATATATATATATATATATATATATATATATGTACTACAAAGAATAATGTTTTGAAAGAATTACTGTTTCATATCGTTAATCAATGGATGACAACGATTTTGTGAAGATAATATTGAAGTTTCCTGATATCTTGGAAATAACCATAGATTTTGAAATTTGTCTCAACTACTATTTATTTATTTGAACGCATGAACATCGGTACAAAGTGGCACCGAATACATATGCGCCACACAAGTCACTTGATTTGCGTGTGGGCTGTGATACTGCCCGGGTGCCCAGATCGAAGCAACCCAACTTTAATGTAAAACATTTAGGACAATGAAGATCACATTCCATCGAGAGTGATGGAGTCTCAAAATGAAAATAATATCTAATAATCTGTCTATATTACAGAATTTGCTATAAATTAATGACTTACCACGACCTTCACCACTACGATCTAATAAAGAAAGACCCGTTTCAAGACCAATCAATAAATTTACACCCCACATAGATGCACACAAAATTTCCGAATTAAAACGTTTTTTATAAACTTGTATTTCCGGTGTATCATTGTTGTTTAAACTGGAATTTGTTGTTGAAATATTATTTGAAGCAGTTGATATACAACCAGCACCACTGCTAATACTTGTAGGTAATAAATATGAACCAGTTGTAATAACTGTGCTTGTTGTTGTATTAATTGATGGCAAATTAAAATTCAATAAGTTACCACATAGAGAATTAGGCAAAGCGATTGATTTGATTAAACCACTATTGTTGCTAGATGATGAAGGATTAGAACTTGACTGTGAAAGTTGTATATCTAACTGGAAATTCAGAAGAAAAAAAGAAAGGCAAATCAAAGATAGAGAAGATTTTTTTTCTTAAACAACAAAAAAGAAGGTGATGGTATTGATTAACAAGAGTTATTGAAAAAACTGATCCGACAAAATGACAATAATACAAGAATTATAAATGATGTATATGCAAAATTCAACAAAGAATAACAAGGTGTTATACACAGCGTGAAATCGACTGATTGTACGCTGACCATGAGTATATGAAGTAGATACAACAATTTTCTGAACAGAATCCACGGAACTACCAGTTTTCAATCATTTACTGAGATATTAACACTGAAAATATTGAAAGCGCTCAAAGGTAGTTATTATTTAAAGCCTACATTTTTCATGTGAACTATTTAAATTGACTTCTCTGTAAAGCATGAATTATCTTGCGTGTCGTCACTTAGTCTTTCAGAGATTTCAATCTTTACAAATATCCAGGTCAACAGTTTCTAGGAATGTGTATAATTTATACAAAAATCTCATATAGTTTACACAGGTATAGAAAGCTACTAGTGTTTGGTGTTCCGCCTGGAGTCCCTTTCGGGGGGCTACTGCCGGTCCCAAGCCCGGATAAAGGAGGAGAGTTGGGCATGGGGTTAGCGACCCCATCCCGTAGAAAACTAACTCGCTAAAAAACACTAACCAGAAAAAATTATTCAAACCATTTAAACTCTGCCCTGGGAGTCAGGAGGTCTTCGTTTAGAAGAATTATGACGCCTCATGATGAAAGCCGAGTTTCTTCGGAAGTCACGAGGCCGATGCTCCTTCTGACAACCAGAGCAACCATTTATTTAGGTACATGGAATGCTCGCACAATGCGGGAGACTGGGAGAGTTTTCCAAATTGCTGCAGAAATGAGGAGATACAATTTAGAGGTGCTTGGGATCAGTGAAACACATTGGACGCAAGTTGGACAACAACGACTAGCTTCAGGGGAGCTGCTGTTATACTCCGGACATGAAGAAGAAAATGCCCCACATACACAAGGAGTTGCATTGATGCTGTCCAAACAGGCACAAAATGCACTTATAGGATGGAAATCTCATGGACCAAGGATCATCAAAGCCTCCTTCAAAACAAAGAAAACGGGGATTACAATGAACGTCATCCAATGCTACGCGCCTACCAACGACTACAATGAAGACGCTAAAGACCAATTCTACGATAGGCTGCAGTCAATCGTCGAGAAGTGCCCAACAAAGGACCTGACCATTCTGATGGGAGACCTAAATGCCAAGGTTGGAATCGACAACACCGGATATGAAGAGATCATGAGACGACACGGACTCGGAGGAAGAAACGAAAATGGTGAGAGGTTTGCAAATCTATGTGCCTTCAATAAACTGGTCATAGGCGGGACTATATTCCCACATAAACGCACACACAAAACCACATGGACTTCACCGGATCACACCACACAGAACCAAATCGACCATATCTGCATCAACAAAAAGTTCAGGAGGACGATGGAGGACGTGAGAACCAAGAGAGGAGCTGATATAGCATCAGATCATCACTTTCTGGTCGCCAAGATGAAATTGAAACTCAAGAGGCACTGGACAACGGGGAGGACAATATCACAAAAATTTAATACGGCTCTTCTACGGGATAATGACAAACTCAACAAATTCAAGATAACCCTCAGCAATAAGTTCCAAGCCTTTCATGATCTACTCAATGGAGAAGAAACTACTATGGAGAGCAACTGGAAAGAGATAAAAGAGGCAATCACTTCAACATGTCATGAGGTTCTAGGCCAAAAGAAGCACCATCACAAGGATTGGATCACGGATAAGATTCAAGAAAGGAGGAACAAGAAGGCAGCAATCAATACCAGTCGAACAAGAGCAGAAAAAGTCAAGGCACAGGCTGAATACACAGAAGTAAACAAGCAAGTGAAAAGGAGCATCAGAACTGACAAACGTAAATATGTGGAAGATTTAGCAATGACGGCGGAAAAGGCTGCCAGAGAAGGAAACATGAGACAACTGTATGACACAACAAAGAAACTCTCTGGAAATCACCGTAAACCAGAACGACCAGTGAAAAACAAGGAAGGCAAGATAATCACCAACATTGAAGAACAACGAAACAGGTGGGTAGAACACTTCAAAGAACTCTTGAATCGACCAGCCCCACTGAACCCACCCAACATCGAAGCAGCACTCACGGACCTCCCAATTGATGTTGGCGCACCGACAATTGAAGAAATCAGCATGGCTATCAGACAAATCAAGAGTGGCAAAGCAGCAGGACTAGACAGCATTCCAGCAGAGGCACTGAAAGCAGACGTAGCGGCAACTGCAAGGATACTCGAAACTCTCTTCAGAAAGATCTGGGATGAGGAACAGGTACCAAAAGACTGGAAAGAAGGACTTCTAGTCAAAATACCAAAGAAAGGCGATCTCAGCAACTGTGACAACTACAGGGGAATCACTCTTCTTTCAATACCAGGAAAAGTCTTCAACAGGGTATTGTTAAACAGGATGAAGGACTCCGTAGACGCCCAACTTCGAGACCAACAGGCAGGATTCCGTAAGGATAGATCGTGCACAGACCAAATCGCAACTCTACGGATCATTGTGGAACAATCAATTGAATGGAATTCATCACTCTTCATCAACTTCATTGACTACGAAAAAGCATTTGATAGCATGGACAGAACAACACTATGGAAGCTTCTTCGACACTACGGCGTGACTCAGAACATAGTCAATATCATACGGAATTCCTACGATGGATTAAACTGCAAAATCGTTCATGGAGGACAGTTGACAAAGTCGTTCGAAGTAAAGACCGGTGTCAGGCAAGGTTGCTTACTCTCACCCTTTCTCTTTCTCCTGGTGATCGACTGGATCATGAAGACGTCAACATCTGAAGGGAAGCACGGGATACAGTGGATAGCTAGGATGCAATTGGATGATCTAGACTTCGCAGATGATCTGGCTCTTCTATCGCATACGCAACAACAAATGCAGGAGAAGACAACCAGTGTAGCTGCAGCCTCAGCAGCAATAGGTCTCAATATACACAAAGGGAAAAGCAAGATTCTTCGATACAACACAGCATGCACCAATCCAATCACAATTGACGGAGAAGCTTTGGAAGATGTAAAAGCCTTTACATATTTGGGCAGTATCATCGATGAACATGGTGGATCTGATGCAGATGTGAAGGCACGGATTGGCAAAGCAAGAGCAGCATATTTACAACTGAAGAACATCTGGAACTCAAAACAATTGGCAACCAACACCAAAGTCAGAATTTTCAATACAAATGTCAAGACAGTTCTACTGTATGGGGCGGAAACCTGGAAAACTACGAAATCCATCGTCCAAAAGATACAGGTGTTTATTGACAGTTGTCTACGCAAAATACTTCAGATCCGTTGGCCGGACACCATTAGCAACAACCTACTGTGGGAGAGAACAAATCAGATCTCAGTGGAAGAAGAAATCATGAAGAAGCGCTGGAAGTGGATAGGACACACATTGAGAAAAGCACCGAACTGCGTCACAAGACAAGCCCTCACAAGGAATCCTCAAGGCCGAAGGAGGAGAGGAAGACCAAAGAATACATTACGCCGGGAAATGGAGATAGATATGAGAAAAATGAACAAGAATTGGATGGAACTAGAAAAGAAGGCCCAGGACAGAGTGGGTTGGAGAATGCTGGTCGGCGGCCTATGCTCCATTGGGAGTAACAGGAGTAAGTAAGTAAGTAATAGTAAACGTAGATACTATATCATCCACTAAATTACTAGATTTTGCAATTCAAACACAGATCAGTTGAAACTTGAAGATAAATATATATGACAAAATACAATTATGGCAACTACTAAATTTTTATGACTAATTAACCCATGTATATTTGTGACGAAAATCGTCCTGATATACAATAATTAAATAATTTATCTAGTCAACCTGAGCTAATGAAAGGAAACAAACATAGCTGTATTCCCTAAGTGTAAATGGCTAAATTTATATTAAGACTAAGCCCCATTTTGTATGTGTCAATACACTTTACTTCTTGATATTGGTTCATCATAAAATGGTCAGACGTCAGTGATTGTTTAACAAAGTTCGAGATCAATAACACTAAAATTAGTTAACAATTTAGTACAAACTAAAAATCTCCTTAGAGCTCTAAAATATTTAGCCTAGGATAAATTTATCATCTATTGATACAATAAATAATTAAAGAACAAATAATAACTGAAGGTCATAAAAAGACAAACGATATCAAGGTAAGAAAAGTGTTCTTTTAGTATATCAACTCTAATGTATTCAAGTAAGAAAAAGAGGTCAAGTTTAATCACCTGGGTTTTCGATTTTAGACCTCCACGTGGACTTGGTTCTGAAACTCGAGGGCCAAGATTATTGTTTGTTTGAACTGACCAAACTGAACTAGGAAGTGCTTTATTTGAGTCTATAATCACTACAGACTGAGGAGAGATTTGTGGACTCGTTTTCTGAGCTAAGTTGGATTGTCCTAATGGATGCTGGTTAGTCGGTATATTTGTACATATATCAGTTGGTTGATATGGTGGCTTGTTATACGGACCGCCTAGAACAGCAGAAGTAGCGTCTGAAGAATGTGGTGGTGGTGACAATGGTCGAGCTTCTTGTGTTTTTGTACATCCTGAAGAATAGGAGTAAATTATAAATTAACAGGGGTTAACAACAATCCATTCACAAAATTCTGTACTTATATGAAACACTGATCTCATAAATAGGTTACACGATTACAATCTCAATTCAGTAGATAAACTAGGAAGCGGTGAACAGATGTTTGATTTCAGATGTCAGTAAACCGCAGCTCTACGTGACGAGTTTGATAGCTTTAAATAATATTATTCATTGAGTTATAACTCGGTAACTTGCCTATTGCATTTTACGTTTATTCAGAGCACAGAGCAAAAATGAGCAAAACAGAGTGTTTGTTGATATTCAGAGAAAAAACGGAACCTTTATCGTGGAGAAAATTTATTTTCTATTGAATATTGCTCATCGTTATTTGTATCTTTAATAACTAATTTACATACAGGAATTCCAAAATGAGTGGCAGCTAGTAATTTCCGAGTCAAATTGATTAAAATCTAATAACAATGATAGCCAACAAGGAACAGATGGACGTGACAAAGGCTTTATGGAAATTGTTGTAAGGCATACAATCGTCAAACGTTAACAACTACAAAGCTATTCACTGCTTTCTAAGCTTATAATTTTGATACCTTTCATGTTATTTTGCATGACAATTAAGTCATCATCATTATTATTCAACAAAAAAGTTAACGGAACATCATATTCATCTGGAGTTATAACATAACTCATTTATTAAGCATAGGTTGATATGTATTCGACTTTGAGTTATACTTTAGTTGCATGGCGACTAATTATACCACACAACTACCACAAAAACCGAAGTAGATGAGATGAACCTGTTTGTTGAAAGTTGAGAACTTCAATCTCTTGATAAAATCATCATAAAATCATCTGTCGAAAAATCAAACCATTATCTTTATATCTTTAACATTAAATTTTTAATAAATTTTATGATAATTAAATGACACATATAGTTTGGTATTAAAAACACACAATCATTTTCTCTCTATCCAAAATTATAAATGGACAGCAGAAAATCGATATAAGGATTTATAAACAACTTAGTGTATCTCTCTAGGGCAGTGTTGTGTACATACTGAATTGACCAATTTAAATTATATTTCAATGGTAAAGTGTTGGCACAGTAACAATACATAAATCATATAGAATGAATATAACAAATATTAATTTTAAAAAATATATATAACTAAGGGACAAGGATCACTTGAAAAATTATTTATGAGCTAGTGTATCAAATATTGAAAGTAGATATTATACTAAATAACTAATAGCATCATTTCAAATGTCAAGTGCTTGAATCAATATCGATAAGCCTAAATCATTGTGACATTAGAATGCATTTCATTGACTGAAAGATGATTGTATAAACTATTGATTCACAAATGATGTTTATTCGTTAGATATATTCTAACATATTCACTTTTATTAATGATAAATGAAATCTTGATATTACCTTCTTTTTCATTTGTAATTAATTTTGATGATGATGAATGCGGGACACCAATATGTGAAACATTTTGAGATGAACTTGTAACTTTCACCTTATCTGTACATGAAGACAGATCAGTTGTGTTTGGATAACCATTTGAAACAGTGTACTAAACAAAAGAAATACAAGTATTTAAGCGAATAAATATTTACACTTATACATTACTGAATGAAAAGTGATGTTACATGGTCTATTCCTCACTAATTTAACAAACTCAACATCGAAGTTCATGCTAGATATTATCCATTTGGAAGTGATGAACAGAGAGATTTGGACCCATGTTTCTTGATACTCGTCCATAAGGTGTATTCCTCAATCTTGTAGGGCTCGATGTTCTCTGCATGATTTCAACATAGGTATCATAGACAGAAAGTTAAGTTACCATTGAGTTATTTGCGAAGTTGCTAACTTCTTATAGAAGTGGGATATCCCCAAATATTTTGAAATTAGCTTTTTTTACTTTGCAAACGATCTACCATATACTTTGCATGAGATACAATTTCCTATTGTTGATATTCTGAACTAAAATTGATCAATCTCTGATGGTGAATATGTATTCTGAGTGGATTCACTCAATATTACTTTCAAGTCACAAATATGTAATACAGTTGGTGTGAGTCTTAGTGTCAAAACTCTAATGCTGGAATCCAAGAACATTCAGTTGAGTCCGAAAACGACGAGACCTACCTCATAGATTTCAATACTAGCTAAAACCCAATCCTTATAAAATCCATGAATTACATTTGTATTTATTTCACTCGGATGTTAATTGTAGTGAGCTGTAACCAAAGCTACATTATGATAATGTGTGAACAGCTCAAAATAAAAGCCAGTAACAGTCCTACTGTATTTTTTTTTAACATTTTTCGTAAAAATAAGAGGAACTTGTTCAATTGAAAAAAGTCTTCGTGATTGTATTCTCATCTGAACTGTATTTTCAATCATACACTATTTTTATTATACACCCCAACGCTACTACATTTAAGTGGTGCAAAACCTTTAGGGATGTCCCGTTGTCTCATAAGTTATATGTAATAAATAATAAAAAAATAACACACCTCGGTATACAAAAATGATGATTGTATATATATCCCCCTCCATGCATATATATGCATAATATGTTCATACACGTGTATTCTTATATTAACTGATCATTTTTATCTGTTATAGAGAAATGTTTAGCAAGGATAACTTCACAAACAATGAAACAATTAGACTACTATGAATGAGTAGAGAAAAATTACGAAATAGATCCTTTTTCAATTGCATACTTGACTAGCAAGAGAATAAAAAGTGAATTTCATTTTCAAGTCAAATGGTTAATTTATTAAACAGAGCACGAACATCAAGATTTGTTTTGTTTACATTAATCAAAAAGTGACTTACACTAAGCCACGAAACGTCAGAAAATCTAATTTTCTACTCATTGGGATATTACAAATATATTATTTATTTAGAAATGATCAATTGTTAAAATTGATTAGATAGAAATAAAAGACTTAAAAAATAACTATGGTTTGAATGGAATAGATTATTTTGATGAAAATATGCACAAACTAAGTTTAATTTAAAACAAATTACTTCGCTACGAGGATCAAAAATCACATGAAGATTTTGTATGCTACTCATTTCAAGAGAATTGAAAATATTGGGAATGAAATCCTTTACGCAAAATGTTAACTTTACAAGAATCCAGTAAAACGCAACTATCATGAAAATAAATCTTATCTCGATCAACTCAATGTTCAATATTGGATCAATAATGTGTCTAAGGATCGCTTTATAATTCGACAAGGAAAGATTGTACATGCATAATATAACAAAATTATCAGATCGTATGCTTAAACGAATAGCTCCATAGGAACAATTAAGATAAGGTATACACATGAATTAAGATAATACTTATATTTATATGCTACATATACTATGAATTTTATTATTGTATAAATTTTCTTATTTATTTAGCTACACACAGTTGATTGAGATGATCAAACTGTGGATTAAAATGCTCATTAAAAATATTTGGTTTTTACTGTCATGTATATACTTGGAAATATTATTAAAAACCATTAATATACTTACAAACATATTTCAAAACAAACTAAGAATTATCAGTTCACGTTTATAAAATTGTTTACATCATTAGGGACCTGGTTGGATGAATTATATGAAAATGTAGGGAGCTTTGGTAACGTTGCATTTTTTTATAGTACTCCAAGCATGTCTGAAGTAAGAAATTTTACAATGAGCTGAAAATGTCATAATGTAAATTTATGTATCATATTAAATAAAACTGTTATTATCAATACTCTTATGAGATAAAATTCAGAAAACCTATTGACTGGTCTTCAGAAAACAGGGTGGAACACAGCTGTATTAGGTGTACTTCTCAGAACATACTCCTCATATGTTGATGTTACATTCTTGTAAAAAAAAACATTCTCAACAACACGACTTCGAATAACTTATCGATAATTTGACTTCAGATTGTGATTATCGTTAGTTTTGTTTTAAAAAAATCCAAAGAATATTTGATATATACTACGTAGATTATTGATAGTCTTAGGTTTTCTAACTACAATTGACATACAGAAAAATTTGACTGTGTAAATCGACAATATAAAGTCTAAGAATACTATTTCTTTTAACATAACAAGGTAATTCAATCGAAAATGTATTTTAAAAAAACTAACAACAAGTCCAAAAAGCAAGTAATGACAAGTCCAGTAGACAGATGAGAAAAAAAGATGGAAATCAAATCGTAATAACGAAAGTCATTTAAAGATGATATTAAATTGATATAATGAAAATAATAGAAATAATAATGATAGTTGAGCTTACTTTAACATTATTACTACTAGTTGATGGATTAACATTAGATCTAGATCGGTCAATTGTCCCAGATGTAGACTCAATAATCGATGCTAAACTGCATAAAGTTTCCTTGGCAAATTCATCTGATGGTCTGTTGTATTCACATATAGACGAAGTGACAAACCCATGAAAATTTGTGGTAGATAAGACAAAATACAAAAAGCATTTAGATTAAATATTAATATAAAACGTAATCATACAAGAAAAATACGGTTGAATCCACTGATCTACTCAATCGATTAAGTCATCGAGTAACCAGTTATCGAAACAAATAAAAATTATTTTGCATGTATTTGAATGTGAATAGTTACCCATTATCTTTGACGACCTCATACAATCTATGAATTTATGCACTCAATGGATGAAAGCTTGTTGAAATCTTTCACTAATCATCTATCCAGTGAAATATCAATAATAACGACACACATAATATGAAAGAATTTTCCCCGTAAGAAGTATTTTCAAACGATACAATCAATTTAAACTACAGATAAATCCAGAAAAAATGAACGACACAATATTAAATTAAATGTTTAAAGGAAGATTGACATGTTTCAGTACCAATGGGAAGCTGATTAGTTTACTTTTGGAATTCAAAAGCTCAAGGGTTCAGTGGTTCCAACTGAAAAGCGGTACAAGTTGCTTTGTCATAACAGAATAACCAAGGTGAAAAGTCTCTAGTATTCGTAATGACAATTGCAATGAAGTCAATATTTTCTTTAAAAAGATGTTTACAAACATTCAAAAGCAGCCAACTGAAGGGTAAGATGTAAAACGGATTATATTTTTCATGATAAGTCATCACTGAAAACGGTAGTATAAAATAATAAACATAATGTAAAGCGAATGATTGTGTAGTAAACCATGAAAGGAAAATCAAGGAAGAAATAAAACCGTCAAGAAAATTGGTGGTACTGTAACTACTGATGTAACAGATGCAGTGATAGATATATTTTGAATGAATTTGTGTAAGTTAGGTTAGACAATTAGAAAAATATCCATTATAATTTCATTAACTACTAACTGATCAGTTTAGTCAGTTATATCGAAGTTGGTAAAATATAATCGGGAACCTTATCAAGCCACTAAATTGAACTATCAGTACACTATGTAAAACAAAACTAAGCACTAACATTAATCAAACTGAAAGCTCGTAATAAGACAAAATGGAATAATTCACAACTAGTAACTACAATGAGCCGGTTAGTGAGTCAAGTAGGAAGGAAAAAAAAATTATCCAACGTTGAATAATTCTGATCGTTATCAGAAAAAATATTCTTCAATTATATATATATATATATATATATATATATATATATATATATGGATGACAATAATAAAATTACTGACCTCATAAAGAGTCAATTCTGTAAGCTAAAAAAAACAATAGAATTCTGTTCTAGGTACACAAGAAAAACTAGAAATCAACTGAGAAATGCGCTGATGTAAGTTAACACGTCCCTTAGAATAAAATAAACATGTACGCAGAGAAGAGATAGATGAAAAAATTAGTGCAGAATAATAAAATATTTTAAATGTTTATGAAAGAAAGAAACAATGAATTTATTTTTCCCCAATGTTGAGTTTGCATCTATGCTTGACTAGTCTGGGATTTATTTTCAATACCTTATAATACGAACATTTGGGCAGTAAAACAAGTTTATATGAACGGAAAAAATCCTTAAAAACTGGTTTAGATCACTGTGTGCATGAGTGTCAACAGTGTATCATCTGATATAACATGACTAGTCTTATTATCATATATCGTAGTATACTTGAGAGAGAGAATATCTTAAACTATCTGTTATATTAGTTGGTTAACATGACAGTACATAATGATAACCATAAGTAAACTATTTAACCAATGAAACAGAGTATTTTCACTAAAAAAGATACTATGTTGTGATGAATATTTAACTATTAACCTACCTAATTCCAAACTGTGTATGAATAAATTCATCGTCATTCGACGATTAAATCTTATTGATCCCTCTTGTTTATCATATAGAAAGAATAACAAGTTTATTATAGTCAAATATTCTGTTATTTTTTGAAGTTAACTTACTAATAGAATGATGAACTTGAAAATATCTCCATTCTCAGCAATAAATAACTGATAAAGAAGGGATCAATTTAGTCCAAATATTCGCCTTATTAGTAAAAACTAACAAATTAATTTAAATTTGAAGTTAAGAAAACCACATGTGTTTACAACTATACTGTGTAACAGTATTTGTGTCCCGACGGTCACAATTGTGCAATTTTGGTTAAAATACTATCGAACATCACCATCAATAAACAAGTGCTTTTTCAATAGCATCGGTTTATAAAAGAAATCATATTTAACTTATCTACCACTGATAAAAATTGTCAAATTCGCTAACTAAATACAGGTTTTCGTATAAGACAATCATATTTATTGTTACATCACTGATACATTATCAGGTTTCCTAAACAAAAACTAAACCATGCCATTTTCAAATAGTCAATCGAGTGATTGGGAACCGAGAAATCAAACCCTCAAGCTAAGCAAAACATTTAGGGGTAAATGATTCACAAAAAATTAATGCAATACAAATTATTTTAAAATAACTAACGACTATTGGAACACTGAATACATAAATTGTACGCTAGTCATTAAAAAAACATACACACATAAACACTAGAATTATAGTGATCAAATGAGCAAAACTACTTGTTAGTAATTCAATATAATGGTTAGCAACAATTGTAATCAAACAATATTGATGAAAAAAGACAATCTCTTAGCTTGTGTGTTGTTCGTTTACTTTATGAGTACATATATACACACACAGTTTGAACCAAACGCACGCATACATTATGGGGTAAATAACACTTCAAAATATGAAACTTTGTTTTAAAAAAGGCCTTTTAATTGTTGTTGACTTTGTTATTGTTGGTAGTGATGGTGATGATAGTAGGGGAAATAATTCAAGGAATGCAGAATATAGGTGCATTTAACTAAAACAAACCAAAAACTAATGGCAAAAATAACTTACTTTAAAATTGAAAGACCTGGTGCAGAATAACGTCTTGACTGATTGGATGAACCTAACTCTAATAAAATATGACATGGTGGTGAAACCATAACAGTTCGGTGTACAGGTTTAGGAAAGTGAGATTCTAAGTAAAAAGAATGACGTTTAGAGCGTGGAGGAAGCGGTGGAGGCTGAATAATTGGTGAATTAGGCATAAGATTTATTGAGTGCACCACATTGTCACTTCAGTAATGAGGATTATTAAAAAAGAATGTTATTATATTTTTTTAAATTAGCGTGAAGTTAGTTACAAATAAGAGCAATTCATGTTTTTGTGTTTTTAAAGGGATTATTCCATGAATAAAATATGAAAAGAATTTACGGTAGCGTTATATAAAGGCAAGAATTTGCAGAAAGACAAAAAAAGAAAAAAAATAGGCACGCAGTGAATAGGACGTGGGAAGAAAAATACAAAACAAATATGAAATTAGTCATGCATGAAAATCAATTATACAGCGTAGTCAATTATCTAACTAATTATGGCTATTTCACTAGGTTATGATCAAATAAATAAAATTAATTTCAAGGGAACATGACAGTATTCATGTTGTAGGAGGAGAAATATTACTAGAAACACTAGTACAACAGAGATGAATATTAGGGAAAAAACTTACAAGGTCCCCTCTTTATGCCATCTAACTGCTGCATTGGACAACGTTCCATCATCTACATAGCATGAGGATTCATTTGTGACAGCACTACCAACATCACCATCAACATTTCTTATCGATTCATCAAATGATGATCTTTGACGTGTACGAACAATGGATAAAGTAGCCCTTAACTGTTCAGCCTCTTCTAGATCAGCACCATTCTCTTCTTCTTCTTCAACAACAATGACATCACCTTCATCTTCATCCTCCTCTTCCTCTCCTCCGCCTCCAGTATCCTCGTCATCTTCCTCATCATTTTGTATGTTGTAAGCTCCACAGTTAAAGTCGTCAAGCTGGTCATCATTAGAAGCGATGAATTGTACTGGATCTCTTTGTACTCTATCTAAGTCATCAAGCTCATTAGAATCAACACCAGCATTATGATCCATTTGGTTGTTATTATTATTGAACACACGGACATTTTCGACAACAGTAAGTCGACGAGGATCTATTTCTGAATGTCGTTTTCCATTCAGTATAACTCGACACGCGTTTTCACGATTTTTACGTTGATTAGAATCACACGAAGAAATAGTAGAAACGGAGGATGAAGAACAAGTGCTTGAAGTGTGATATTCATGATTTGAACCAACAGAATGAGATCTACTCATTGTAGATGAGTTGCTTGTTGAATGTTTATTTTCCACGTGTACTGGTGAACCCTCGTTACCATGAAATTCAGATGATATAGACGAAGAATTAGTGGTAGATGACGAAGAAGAAGAAGATGATGATGTTGAAGAAAGTGAACTAGATCGATTCAGTTTTTCAACTGCACATACTGGTTCCATTGATGTAACTAATTCATTAGATGTTGATGATTTTACATTATTATTTTCATAAGATTTTTGTTGCTGGTAGTGTTGTTGCTGTGATGATGATGATAGTTTATCATTTGATTTTGTGTCTAATTTACCATTCAACTGATTTCGATTATTTTGTCGATGAGGGCTGGGTGAAACAGCGCCTAAATTAGTCAATTGTGCAGCTAATTGATCAAGTTCCTACAGGAGTAAAAAATATTTAAAAAATAATAAGAGAATAATTCCATATTGCGATAATAACAAAAGAAAATACCAATATTTTTGTTCATATTACAACATTGAAAGCTATTTAAACGAAGTACGCAAGGAACAAAACTATGATGTATACTGATACCACAATATGAAGAATGAAGCAAAAAGTCATATAGGTACTACTAATATAAAACAATGGGTACTGTAAACATTGATAACTCATTCAGGACTGAGATTTTATTGACAATGATAATAATAATAATAATAGAACGAATATATCACAGGCATCTAAATAGCTAAAATCAATTTCTTTGAAAAAAATATTAGTAACACACAAACTATACGAACAACGAAAATGAATGGGAGAGGAAATGATCTAAATCAATGTACATTGCACGTAACTGAGGAAAACATTGGAATAATAATAATAACACTTATGCATCATAGATGCTACACAGTGAAAAATATCCTACCGACTGTAAACTAATCATTTCTTCGGGCTTCGTTTGACTACCATTATTATTATTATTCTCTTCAGTTATATTTGAACAGTTATTACACTCAGCAACAGGTTGAGATGGTTCATTTTTTACAAAGTCTATTTTTTCCCAGTTAGCAGATGTAGATGAGTCATAAATGCGGGAGAACTCATCTAAGTTAAAATGATATGTTGAAGTGGGATTTTGATCGCTCTCAATCAATTCTTCGTCATCATCTCCTTCTTCAACAACAATAAACTCATCTGGTCTTGGTTTAGGTAGTCTACGCCTTAATAATCTTGGACCCAGAGGTGGTTTTGGAGATGTTAATAATGGTTCAGAGGTTATAGTCTGAATAAGTGATAAATCAACAGCAGTTAAATTGTCATTCTTATTATCATTGTTTTTTACTTCTATTAAGTCAACATTAGACCCGAACCAATCATTATCCACTAACGGTTGAGTAGTTCGTACAGTTTCACCTGAATGACTGAAAACATTCAATATATTTGTTTGTTGTTGCCTTGGGAAGTGATGAACAATATTTGATGTAGTAGTTAATGTTGTTTTTGTCATCAAATTTAATGTTGTAGCAAGTGGTATAGTTGATTCAGTCCCATGGTGTTGTACTTGGTGGTCCTGCGATCGCTGAGAGAATAAATTCTGTCGAAGCTGTTCTCTTAAATAAACTAATGATGCAGACGATGGATTCAATTGAGTTTGTTTAAGCCATTGGAATAAATTAATATGAAACTGTTGCGTACTAACATGCTCAGATGATATATCTGTTAATGAAACAACTGTTGAAGGAGAGGAAGTTAATAAATGAGCAGATGAAGATGAAACGATATGTGATGACGAAGAAATGGTAGGTTCACTATTTGTTTGTAATGTTGGTAAGATAGTGCCAACTTTAGTAACAATATTATTGACAATGCTATTACCAACACCGGAACTACTTAAAACAGGTAATAATGATGCTTTCCCTATTGATTTTAATAAGTTACTCCGTTTTCCATACTATTATCATCAAAAAGCAGATCCAACCAAAAACCCACAAAAATAGACCGTTTTTGTTTAGAAATGGATATATATAATATTCGTGTAGATATACAACACCAACAGACAGGTTATCATCCAAAGCATTATCAAATCAATCGGTTTTTACAAGAAAACACATTCAGTGTTTATGTTATATAGATAACATGTGTCAACGGAAAGCAAAATTACGGGACAACACAAGTTTTAACATTCAAAATTTTTCAATTTAAAATAATAGTAGAAGAATGACAGCAGAAGTGATAATACATTCATTTTTATTAATCGGTTTGTTGTGACAGTTTCATTGAAGGGAAGATGAACACATAGCAGATGATGAACAGTTGTATAATACCACAGTGACCCCAATTAACGATACACATACAGGTGGATAATTACAAGCCGAAAATGAAATTATGGTGATGCATCAAAAACGTAATGAAACGAGGATGAACGAATACGAAGACAAGAAAATAACATCAAAAGTGAATTGTATTATATGACATAACCCCCACCCATCCAGACCCGTAAAAGGCAGGTACCGTCATCGACGAAATCGTACATTTAGACATTGTAGATTATGCAAAAAATGGGCAAGATAAGCGCAGCAAAAGTAGGGAGAAGATAAAAAAAGGGAAAGGCATATGTTAGTTTCACATTATATTGTAAAAAAACATACATAAATGTAAAACTGTAGTAAGATAATGCAAATAAGAAAATGGAAAGTTTACAGATCTAACTCATGAAGCAATCTAATAAAATATCTATAGAAAATCATTCTAGTCAAAACTGCTTAGGTAAGTCAAGCAATTAGAGTAAAAGGAAGGGAGGAAGAAGGGTACATATGTACAGCATACCATATTATAGAGCATACAAGAAAATTGGAATGAGGGCTATGGGGTCCAGCAAGAGGAGGAGTGTGACTGGCTTTAGCAAATCGGATTGGATCGATGAAGAAAGCTAATCTGACCTTACCAATCATTTAATGAAACAGACACACACATATGCGTATACATTTACACACATAATTGATTAAAAAAGACATGTTCGCAAATATACACCAATACATAAACCACAAAGTTCACTTACCTCAAGACGTGATATCTTTATATTATATGAAACGAAAAAAGAATTATATGCATTGAAACAGTCAAATGAGAACAATGATTACCCACTAAATCTACAAGTGTTATGGATAACCTGTAGTGAAAAACCTTACTACTCAATACATAGACAAGCAAATTCATACGTAGGACGTGATTATTGGGAAAAATAGGTAATCAAATGCAATGGTAACATGTTATGATTGACTTTTTATGCCTATAAAAAGACAAGTTCTGATCAATGTAATGTATCAATTAATCTCTTATCTAACCCTTTGGTACTTAGAATACAACAGTATTAACATGACACTACTGTGCAATATTGTACAACATCTGTCCTATGATATATAGAAATTTAGAACTGTTATGTGTAGTAGCGATGTTGAAATCTAAAGTATATTATTCCTCAATATTTTTGAATCGGTTATTCTATCTAAAGAAATACAATGATAAACTACAAATTCTCCATACATTTTTCTAACTCTGTTTATCAGTAGACGTCATCACAGTTTTTGCATTAAATCCATTAAAAAGGTTTTGAAAGAATGTTCAATGGAATAAATGTAAAAAAAAACTATTTCTCTAATCCCAACAAGAAATAAAAATATGATGATCGTCCACTAGTATTGAAATTAGTAAACTAAAAAACCCAAATAAGAAACTGATTCAAACACTTTACATAAAACAAAAAAACATAAAAAAACTTGAAAATTAAGTTTAAGGAACACTATTTTACATTAGCTGTAGCAATAAACAAATATCCACCAGAACACTTTTTTTATGATCAAGTGAAATTTTCAAGAAAATCATAATTAAGTTTTTTTTTAATACATTCATTTATTGAGCATAAACAATATAGAATGTGATACAATGTATAGTTGTTCAAGCTGTCACACTTCACATAAGCATAATGAGAATAGAAATTTAAAACAAAATGAAGAACGCAAAACCCAAAATAATGATAACATAACTAGTAGATAACGCATAAAAAAATATATTTCGAAGGAAATATGAAAAATTGAGGAATGTTGAGTATATGATTATAATAAGTACGGTATTTAGATTCAGATATTTTTAAAATAAAAACTTTTAATGAAGCTGCATTTAACAATAACAATCTGAAATCTAAATAAGGTTTTAAACCGAATAAAAATGAACCCCATACCCTGTGGACTGATGAATGAACTGTTTTTTAACCCGGTTATCATGTATCATCATATGAATGATATTCGAAAACAATATAATGAAATCATTACTAAACATATATAATTAAATAGATATAATCTATTCGTTTATCATAAGTTAGCATACATTAAAATGATAAAGCTGCTATTATTATTGTTATTATTTTAACTGTCTAGACAAATTTATACAGACACTGGGTTTTGTACTTCGTACATCACGAATATATGAGCTAATTTATGCCACTTTCTTTTTCGTACAAAGCAGTAAGTATAAAAAAAGTGATTTATGAAGGTAATCGATTATTTTCAACTTGTAGAATCCTTATGTATTGGTACGGCTTATGAAGAAGCATGATATAGTCATTGACTTAAAATCTTTTAAATAGTTAAAAATTAAGACAAATTAAATGAAACGATAAATCATAATTTCAGATTAACTGATTGCAGGTGATGTAGTAATTCTAAACATGGTTATTAACCCAAGCTGATATCGACTAAAAAATCGGCGGAAATCATAAATTCCCTCATATTATAAAATAAACATTATATTATCTAAACATCACATCTGGCTTGGTCAAATACAAAACAATAAGAACTTATGGCGAATACTTTATTATAATCGGTAACCTAGTCCTGATTCCATTGATCAATATTTCTAACTACAAACATACAAGTATAAATTACAATATGGATATTATACTATTACAATACAGAATGTAAAACATAACTGTATGTTACTGGTAACTGTTTTCCCCTGAAAAAAGTTTAATTATTTCTCACGCTATTGAGCTAGATAATGACTGATTGTACAAATTAAGTTATTTTTTGGTAAAGTTACCCAAATCAAGTTTAAATGAACAAGAACAATGTGAAATCTTACCTCAGAATTTTTACTTATGTGATTTGGATTGTTTTGCTGATGTAAATGATGAGGATGATGTAATTTTTGGGGAATAACGCCTGAATTTTGACGATTAGACAATTGTTTACTTGCGCGTGAACGAATTCCAGGTTGATTTGAATGCATTTTATGATTATTACTTATACATGTACTGTTATTTGCAACTGTTGTAGTGATGTTCTTAGTCGAAACTGTTAATAAAATAATCAATTTTATATTATTGGAATGAAATTCATTACAAATGAGAATGAGCAGACGAAAAGGGGAGAAACAAAAATATATCCGATTAATTATGTTAAAATTTATTATACATAATATTATTGTTATAAATAAAATCAATAACAGATCAAATTGAGACAGCTTAATACATTCAAAGAGAAATGAGGAAATATGTTTTCTTAATTAAAAGATTGAAAATAAATTCCTATTCTGTATAATGAAATAAAGTGTGAATCTGTCAGCAGCTAATGTTCTCATTACATTATGAACGGTAATTATACATGTTGAAAGTTAACAAAACAACTTAAAATTACATACAACAATATCATGTCTAAATACGATGGATCTATACATTTTCTACTTTACATAACATTATTTGATATCCATGATTAAAAAAGATTGTAGGCTAGAAAAACCAACATTCAATGGATAAACTATTCCGATTGATATTTTGTATTTAAAACGTTTATTTTGACTACCATCCAAATTAACTTGGTATTTCAGGAAACGAAAATATAAAGCTAATTTTAGGTCTAGAAACTGTAAGAAAAAATAGGGACGATAAATTAAAAGACTGAACATCTGAAACATGAAAGATAGTTACTAATTAGGATACAATAATTTCCGATTTATATCAATAAAGAAAAATCAATATTGTAAATAGGAATGAAATATTTTCTTAAAATGAGCTCAACTTCTAATCTATAAAATTGAGAGAAAAAGAACATTATTGTAGGAAATGTTGTTTTTTTTAAATAAAACAAAAATATTTATTCTAATGAAAGTAAAGCGAAAATTCGATAGTTTATTAATTATTCACTGTTTGTGTCATTTTTTGTAAGTCTTGTTAATTTTTTTTTTTAATGTTATTATCTATCAATATAATGGAAATAAAGGATTAGAGAAAGAGAGCATTGACAGTGATTATGCTACAGTTACAAAAGAAGAAAGACTAAGGCAAGACTATAATTTATGGACGAATAAATCACAATTAAAATAGCAGATCTTGAATTTTGGCGCGAAATTCATTCAGTCGTTTGGCTAAATAACATTTTGGCATTATAGTTGATGTCAGTTCGTGATGAAAACGTTCAATGTAATTCCTCACCATAATATTCCAACTGTAAATCCTAATCTTAATTCCTTACACTAATATATAATCTTTATTTAACCATAATAAGTGAACATTTAAAGGTTATTTTGGCGTTGCTCAAAGGTCGTCCATAAATTAAAGTTATACCATGTTAGATTTTGTAAAATATAACAAATTAATGTTTCGATTGATAGCATGAATTTCAATAAATACACTGACAGCCTTATATGATAGAAAAAAACTTTTTTAGTTCAATATGTTTAGATAGGAGTGAAATTTATTCACAGTATTAGTTATGAATAAAATTATGATATCGTGTATTAAATTTGAGTATCTAATTGAATTAAATATAAAAATCAAATGTGAAGTTGAGAAATTGGATTACATTTATTTTCATCTCTCATTAATTACAATTACAATTTACCTGATATGTTATGTTATGCTATTCTAAGTGAACCAATTCCGTACATTAATATCAATTTGATTTTAATAAAAAGTAACTAAACAACTTAACCCATGTGGTTAGACCGTAGTTTATAAGAATTTCACTAAATAGTCACTTAAATCAAATACAAACCGCTGATGAGCATATATAATTAAAACATTTTATCAAAATTACTTCCATTTCAATAGATATCAATCGTCGGAAATCAACCTGAATTTTGGTACCTGGTTAGTCAGAAATAAAGTCACATCTGTACTTTATCGAAAGTCGGCAACTCATCTTATTTTTAAGGCTTTGGATACAAAGCATGGCGCGTGTAATCGCTAAACAACATGATTTACTTGATCCACGAAATGGATACTCGCATTCGATTAACTTAGAAACATGCTATTTATACAACCATGTGTATTATTGGTCTTGCTATGTGAAGGGATAATTTATTCATTTAATAAAAGGCCTTTTTGGCTAATTGATTTATTTTTGGTAGCCGTGTGGTTAGCTTTAGCGTGCAATCACCAGTATGACACCACACATATTCCATTGACCGATAGAGCATTTACTCTTTCGTTCATTTATTATTGTGACATGATGACAACAGCTCATCAAACGTCATGATAAAAGGTAGAATACAATGCACGATTAAAGTCCCCGGAACTAAATAGTGACAATAAGTAGAAATGATCCGAATTCCTCGTTTCTCTCCGTGTACAAAAATAACTGCTTGCAAAAATGATAGATTCTACTAAAGGGAGACTAAAAATATGTTATAGTGTTAGGATGCAGTATTAGTAATCTAATTATGTTTGATTAGTTTGGAATATGCATTTATTAATTATTAGTATGCACAAAACAACAGTCTTCCTATTTATCGCAGTTTCAAATGAATAGAAACACCGATACTTCTATGGTTATAGGAAACAGTTTTAAGGATAAGAGATCTTTTTAGATCAAAATGAGAATAATTCATCCAACTAACAAATTAGTTAGTTGCTTGCATAGAAGTAGATTGGAAGAAAATTATGGGCAACCAAATCAAAAGGTGGTATCAGTTCATGATATCACTGACTGTTACACTGAATCATGTTGGTAGATGTATACTGTCTGGTCTGAGGTACGCGCGATTATCGTGATCAGTGAATGGAGTTGGGTGACATGGCTTACACTAATGTCAGGCCTCTATGTTGACTATGACGGACAACCGAACTAATGTAAATTAATTTTAAGATTTAGTTTTACGTGATAGTAATTGTAAGTATTTATATGCTGTTATATTTAGGAGACGATTTTATTGCAGAGAGGGTAGTATTTAGGTTTATATGAGGCTTACATACATATCCACGCAAATAATACGCTGAAAGAACTATCAAAACTAACCATTTTCACCAAGTAAGGATATTTGGTGTGCTGGAGATCGATTGCTGAATCCAGATAGTAAATTTGATGTTGCTGATTGGCGAGCCAAGTTAGAATTAAAAACGTCACTTGTTGTTGTCACCGTCGTCACTGTTGTTGTACTAGTCGGCACTGATGTTGTCGTAGTTGTGGTAGTGATAGTACTAGATGTTACAGCAAAAGCCATCGCAGCTCCACTAGACCGATTAACAGGACTCGATATACTTGTGTTTACCGATGACTTGGATTGGTTAACAACTGGAGTAGTTGATGTGATGATTGATTGGGGTAAAGCTGATTCTAATGGTGGTTTACGAAGATCTAAATGTGGCACAGCCTGTTCAAAGAGATAAAGGATATTTTTGAAACAGTGAAGGGGATTCTCAGCCCAGGAAGATCCTTTTGATGACGTATTTTTCTGAGTTAGATGGTTCAAATATAGAGCTCTCATTGTAATTATGGACAAGAATTTCATAGCCTACTTCATATGAAACTGACAAACAAGGCCATCGGAATGAACTGATAAAACACTTATGGAATAATTTGAAGGGCTGAAAATTTCGTTCAGAATGACAATGAAAGCTCCCTAATTAAACCATTTAACTGAGAGAAATCAACGCTATCAAAAGGCAATGGATATAAAATTAGCAGATAAGAAAATTGAACAATGGTCATATATGAATAAGCATATGAATATAACTAATTATAGTCTATTGTACATAAAGAATAGACACTGTCATTTCCAAAATTCTATTCATCTTTCATATTCTAAACAATTATTTTCCAGTTTAACTAATAGCTGTTGTTTTCATTTTGTGGAATTTTTCGCCACAAAATAGAAGTTCAATTTTTAAAAAAGCGTACTTTTTAATATTATAGAACTAGGGTTGTGAATTTCGACAAGGAAGGAATGATCAAAGGCATTATGTTCACTACATGTCAGTATTAGTTTTACTGATAAGGTTGCGAAAATGAGACAGAAGGCTTATTAATGTATTTTAAAAATATGACTGAGAATATCATTACTTTCAAATGTTGGACGTTACTGATGGTCTTTGCGTCCTAACAAACCAAATAGCAGGGCAAATTGTTCACAATCACATAATTTTAACACAACAATCCACAGTTGTTAGTATATTTAAGAGCAATCTTCAGCTATATGAAGTACTAAAGCCACATACATTCATTCATTGTATTAATAACATGACTGTTTCATCTAACCAGTCACTTATTATTAGATGAATTCTAAAATTCACCCGATAGTTAGTTGGAAACCACTTTATTTAAGATATATTTGGATTTCTCCGTATAAAGAATGGTTGAAATGTTTCATTAATGTATCATCACTATTACAAAGACAGACATTAAATGACTTTTTTCTAAATTATATTTTCCAAATACAAACAAATAGTTCACATAATAACTATTTAGAAGACTCAACATATCAATAGCAACAATAAGAGAATAAATACCTGACTTGTTGGACGGGTTGATGGAAATTTCGGTGCGACAATGTGCTGAAGGCGAGAACTAGCAGGGTTACTCATGCCAACTATACTAGATGAACCATTCACTTCATCAGTTTGATGTTGTATTCCTGAAGCATTATGTAATCCTCCGTTTAATCCACTATTACTAATACGAACCTGCTGATGAAGTGGAATGGGTGGTGGACCAGGATTGGCAAGTTTTGCACGAAATGGCGAAATAAGTAAATTGCCCAAATGATCATTTGAAAATATCGATGGTGATGACGATGAGGAAGAAGAAGTAACAACAGTCGGATGAAAAGAATTGGGAGGATTTGGCTATGAGTATTAGGTATCATATGAATTGTTACAAAAGATAGTACCAGCATCACCACCATTATAATCAACATGCGTCAAGCCGAAAACAACAAGCAATAATATATGAAAGAAGAAAAAACTTAAATTACAAACTTATACATGCAAAAAGAAAAAAGAAATCAAAACAAAGTGAGAAGAGAGAATGTTACTGACTCTGTATATTAAACCTTTTCAACTATATGACACGAGAATACGGGCGAATACTCAACGGAGAAAAAGATATTACAGTCAACCTAATAAAATCGATTCCTTTAACTCATATAAGTCTTATACAAAATGACGACTTACGTTATAATTATCATGAACAGTGGGTCTACATAAAATGGATTCCTTACAATGGTTTTGCATTATTTTCCTAAATTTAATCTACACGCAATTTTATTAAGATGTATTGAAACTTCCAGTTTGATGGGATGCGGTGTGACCTTTCAACATTCAAAAAGCATGCAATTTCTTAGTCAAAATACGATATGTATTTATGGATTTTATCAAAATCTTCCCAAAAATACGTTCTGAAAAATACTCAAAAATACAAAACACATTTTGCGTCTACACAAAAAGTAACATGAATAAATGAATTCCTCAACGGTTAAACCCCCATGTAAATATTTAGTAATACAAAATATCGAGATTTAATAAACTATTTAAGGAATTTGAAACTATATTGAATTGATAAATGTGACCAATAAACCAATACTGGGTGACAAGCAAATGTGTACGCTGATGATAATACAATTTGACGAAAGTTAACGAAAGACAATGACTTTCTAACATAGATTTATTGAGATTAAGATAAGAATGCAGAAACTATTAAGCCATGCTCAACACAGTCTTACTATATATATTTTAGAGCACAAAGATTTGTCCAGTTATTCCGAGGATTCATTTCACTAACAAAACCATGTATATTTTATAACTGACATTACGGGTTGAACTTAATTAAATAACTATTTGAAAATAAAAAGCACTGTATGACTGTTTCGTCATAATATGCGACTTTTCAGCAATCCGTATTCACGGCTCTAACTAGAAAATTCAACAACGTCCCTATAGCTAGTTTATATATATATATATATATATATATATATATATATATATATATATATATATATATATATAAAACTATACTCCAAAAGACGTCATTTGCTCATTTTTCTTAAACTATATGAAAATATAACTAAACACGATCCAGATAGACAGAAAACAATAATGTTCACATAAGCAATACTCGAGAATTCGGATTAAATCAGTTACATTCTATGGGTAAACCATTAAGGTCGTTAATGTTTTGATAAACACACTAAGCTAAGACTTCTCCAACAAATTGATTGATTAAACACAAAATATAAATGGCTGACCTTTAGAACTCAGGGCAAAAAGTTAAAAGCTTTACTGATCAATGTTGAGTTAACTAGCACATAAATATTGATTACAGTAGGTGTTCTACAGTTATAATAAATATATTTTTTGTTTTATCCCAATGAATAGAAAATTGTATTTCTGATGTTTCGGGACTTAAGGTAAGCCACTTCTTCACAGTGAATAAATAACCGAATTCAATTAATACAATTTCCTATTCATGGACATCTAATAAAAAATATATTTATTTTTAACTTTCTACTCAATGCTCAATTTATTTGAAACCTATCAAGTCCGACCATTGCACTGATATGTAAAATGTTCTATAGTGTTGGAACTTCTTAATTATAATATAGATTGACTATAGATGAATAGGGATATATATATATATATATATATATATATATATATATATATATATATATGCATTAGAACATGATAGGCACTAAGCTTATTAATGCTATTAATCTATAAGAATTAGTTCATGATAAGGAATTTTTTAAATAATGTATACATCAAATTACAAACGCATTTCAGAATACCTAGTTTAATTGAACGCTAAACAATTCCAATGAGATAAATTTGATTTAGTATGTTAAGAAAAGACAAATTCAACGAAATAAAAGAAACAGAAGTTTGCATTGAAGAGAAATTCACTTAGAGGAAAATCTACATTCTAGTTATTAAATGAGCAAGCTACAATATCTAAGATAAAATCTACATCACACAAAAAAGGTCGATATTTAATACAATATTCAAAAAAAAAAATTAACGATGTATAATAACAAAAAATGTATAGTAAACACGAAGAAAAATACTAGAAGTAAACTGACGGATAATGCCCAGCAATATCTTGAGTTATGAATTATCTATTAGTTAATCTATGATTTATAAAGACACTTCTCAATGCAATGAAATTAATTTAATTCGATTTTGAATCACAATTTGTAATTATTTTAGTGTTTAAATAATACTGATGAAATGAAATAAACAACTTATATCCCACTGACGATTAGTCAGTAAAAAAAATGAATCAGAAAACAGATAATGCAAATAGTGAAGCACTTCGATAGAAATTGCTTGTAAAGATCAAACGCTAACTTAGAAATAAGATCTGATGAGTTAAACTGAAGTTACTAAAATCTTACTGAGTAGTATGGAATCCACTATATGAAACTGGAAACAATAGGTTACCAAGCTGTACATAGAATCTTGTTACGTAAGAACGGAAACATCTTTATCAAGTTTAATCAGTATATTCCAATCAACATATTATGACTCAGAGTAAAAAAATCCTGAACTAAGTGTTAAACACAAGAGAACATGCTGAATCTCGACAAACTAGTAAACACTATTTAATTATGTTTTATATTATGAGTAATAGCTTTCAAATAATTTAACTTTTTTCAGTAATGATCACTGATGGAATAAACATATACTAATTGGAGATCAAAAAGTGTCCTATCCAATTCTGTTAGTGCATACATTTTATCTAAATAAGCTTTTGTAACCACAACAGTAAAAATGAGGAGAGAAAAGGTCAAAGCACATAGTTTAATGAAATGTTCAACGAGAACAACAACGACTACTAACCACAGATGCTCTATGATGCTGTAGGGGAAAATGATGCGAAAGTTGCCCACTATCACCAACTGCACCAATAACTGATAAGGGTGTAGTGACCGAATTATTAACTGAGGATGACGTGGACACAATCTCATTGTTAGTTACAGATTGGCTATCTGTAGGTGTATCTGAGACTGTAGTATTAGTAGCAGCATAAGATGATGAACCACCCGCGTCAGCTAGACGACTCCCAGCAGCTAAGACACCCAGCTTCGGTTGATTCGAATGTATTTGCTGTTGTGACTGATTATATGCCGGTGGTCCACGACTACTATTCAAATGTCGTGAATGTTGAGGAAAGTGATGACTAGATGATTGTGGGCGTCCATTGGCAGATCGTTGAGGAGCAACACCTACAGATGGATGGTGTTCACGTTCCTAGGATGAAGATGATAAATCAACATGATTATTTACGCATTTACATGCATACATACATACATACGTACATAGACAGACAGAATTTGGTAAAACCTGTTTTTGACAATACACGCAGTCATTATATAAATCATTCAAAACAGAGGATAAGTAGGCTAACGTTTTATAATTACATTTATTCCTTCCCTGATAATACTGTGATAACAGTATGAGAAATCTATAATATATATATAAAAACATTATAACACCACTATATGTACAGGTATGTGGTATGTAAAAAGAAAAAAATTAAAATGTGCGCATTTAAAAACAACACAGATAAATGAACATGAAAATCAATAGTCATAAGCATACACATACAAACTGATTTAATGAAATTAAAATTAAGACAACTAAGTGAGAATAAAGAAAACACATATATGAACTAACCTATTAGGATCTGATCATAACATTATTGTATGTTAACCAGAAAAACTTCGAACAATCAAACTTTCTAAAAATTACGTTTAATTATTTGGTGTTGCTACGTTATGAATTAAAATTTATCGACTATTCAACTATCTATCAACTAATCCGATGTTACTAAAAATAACATTAGGAGAAATAAGAATACTAAATATAATATAGTTAGTCACCGCCTGTGACTGTGCCGTAGAAACGAGAAATATGAATACCAGTCAATTAGATACTCACACATATATTGAAACAGAAGACTGAGAATTTACAATTCAGTGTAATAAACTGGATTTCGACAGTAAAAATGGCAACAGCTTTAGATGACTGAAAACTGAATAAATGATATTAAATAATCCTTAATTTTCTTCAGATGGCACAAATTTCATGCTTTAAATAGACGGAAAATGAGTGCAAAATAATAGAATATTCAAAGCAACAGATAGTAGATACTATGCTCAAAAATAGATCATATCAACAAACAATACTGCAACCTTCCGAACACTATCTATATTCTACACTAATTCGAACAAGTAAACTGAAATATCATGAATCAATCTCTTTTTCAAGAATGAATTACTGTCATCTGGAATTACTACCTAAATGGTGAAATTCTACACATACGCTAATCAGTTATTGTTTAAACCTCCTAAATGATATTTCTATACAATTTTATTTGCACCAACCCTCTTACATGTACCAGATTATTTATCCAACTGACTTATTAATTTTATTTACTATTAAGTACCTGAAATTGATTGATTACCCATCGTATCACTTGTTGAACCACTTAATAATCGCAAGTTCTCAGTGATATTAAAACTATCTAAAAGTCTAAATAGCAGTATAATGAAGAAATATAACTGATAACATAAAATATTGAAGATAAAAATCATTGATTTGACGACTAAACCTTTGACATTATACAAAAATGAATTATAATAACTTCAATCCAGATATGATTACGATAGTTTAATCATTCTTTACACATATATATCATATATCATTTACAATCTAATGTATGAAACTATGGTAGTAATTAGAATTAATGTTACTGATATTACGAAAATTGCATAATAATCTTCTGATTAAATATAAAAAAACGCAACCCTGTTTTATTAATCACACCATTGTTTTTTACATCAACATGATATTGAATTATGAAATCAATCGATAAATGTAGAATTTTCTCAATATTATCATTATTGGGTGAAAAATAGTCATTAGTTTATTTTCATTAGAAAAAACAAACAAACACGAAAATTGGATCATTACCAATAAATAATAATAATAATTTTCTTTTTTAATGATTTTCAATCAGATGATAATATAATTAAAATGAATTGTAGAAAAATTTATGATGAAAAAGAAACATTCTTTAGATAAATAAAAGTGCACACGATTAATTGATTATTGAAGCAATGAAAATCTCTTTATTGCATATATATATATATATATATATATATATATATATATATATATACAAATAAATGAAATGAGAAAATTTTGATAAAATAGGGAAAGAGGGAGAGAGAGGAGAGAATAAGATTTCAAAATGAACGATTCACTGAGTGATATCAGTTTATATTGTTAACCATAACATGTTATTATTATCTAAGTAAATTATTACAATTCAAACTAGATAAACATATATATATATATATATATATATATATATATATATATATATATATATAATGTTTAATTGTTACATAAATTAAAGATACGATTTTGTGATGGTTACATTTCATCAGTTTAATACAGGGTCTCTTTTTCTTAAGATTTGATGAAACAGATATTTTGATATTCACTCTTAAAAATAGTATGAACTGAGTTAGATGAGTTCACACATGAGATAAGAAGAGTTAATTATCTAATTTAAACATATATGAAAATATGTTTATTTCTATTTTAAACTAGGTAGAAATAATCAAAATTTACTCAAAATAATGACATTAAATATGATGAACAACAAAAATATATTTGGTATGACAGAAGGAAAATAAATCAACACTAAAAACTATACAATCCAATATACAACAACCAATTGAGTAGATTAAAATAAAAACCATAATATATATGTGTTTATGATGATGTAATCGTGCTAATGATTCACAAAGCGCATAAATTATATAAAATATATGCAGCAGCATAAATAATGCATACATTATGTGATAAAAACAAATTTGTGTATAGCAAAAGTAATACACAATACGATTGCAAATATTTACAAGAAACCAAATAAACTAATAGATAAACACACATGCAAGATTCAACGATTATCTAAATCGTCATTCATTGTAACAATTTGATAGAAGCATTAATAGCAAGAAAAACACAGAGAAATCGATCGATTAACTATTTAAAATCTCTGCGTCCTCTCCCACACCTTCCTAACTCGAGTTGTTATAGGAATTCTTAAGGGAAAACGAAATGAATTGGTCTTGAGAACTATGAATTGAAAAGTTGTGTTATTCATCTAGACAAGGCTGTCTCTCCGAAAACAGAACGATCCAATAATCGAATACTTATTATTTTACGATTTTAAAATTTATTTTATTGAATATATTACTTCAAGATAAAAATATTGAACACTAGGGTAGTATTGAAACAAAAGGAATTCACAGAACGTATACATAATTGTGAATAACTACTAATAAAGTAATGAGTTATTCACTCATTATTCCATATAAACACACATTAGATTTTTCGGCCATAATGATTATTTCTCACGAGAGCATTTAACATGCATTGTTGGATAGTGTTTCAAGAAAGGAAATATCTGGATGTTCATTCTATCCTGTAGAATCTTGATGGTATAATCCACTTGACAAGAAACAGTATTCAATAGTACTGCACTTAAATTAAGCACTGGCATACGGGTTTATTCACTTAGCTAAAAGGGTATGAAGAAAGCTCAAGTAGTCTGATTTCGCACAAAAAAGAACAATTTCGAACTTCAGTATGTTGATCAGTTATTTTTCTGTACAATATAAATACAAGCTAAACAACAAATTGATACACTAATTTTTATATTTCTATTGAGTGACAACATAAAATGAACTACGAGCTGAATACTATTATTACGCCCGAATTCGTCCCAAAGTTGAACCCAAATAGATCACATCGCTATCAGCCACCGATGGAGGGGCTCGATAGAAGACTGTCGCTCATTCTGGAGCACATGATTAGATCCAGATCATGCTTTAGTGCGAGCACGTATTTGTCTACGTCTTACTGGACGTAGGAAAGATTCTGCAATGAAACCTCTTATGGACTTACTTAATGGTAGCCAAACTAAGAATATATTTCAGGAACAACTAGAAAAACAGTTAGGCAGCCATGTAAGTGATGCGCACCACGAGGTAGCGTGGAATGACATCCGAAAAGCTGTGGAAACAGCAGTGATATATGCCAGTACGGTAAACCATAAGGTTAGGGAGAAACACTGGGTCTCAGCAGCATCTACCGCACTGATAGATGCTCGAAAACTCATACTACCTGGCTCTGAACATAACGAAGAGCGGAGTCAGCTTAAGCGTAAGCTGACTAGAAGCTTACGCAATGATCGTGAACAGTGGTGTGTAGCGAAAGCAAGAGAGATGGAAGAGGCAGCGGCAATAGGTAACAGCAGGCAACTGTTCAGACTTGTTAAGGAAACCGGTATTAGGAACCCAACTGTTAGCGAAACAATCTCAAAGAAAGATGGACATATTATTCATTCTTAATCCAGGAGATTGGACCAATGGGCAGAATACTTTAAGGATCAGTTCAACTGGCCTTCAGCCATACTTCGGTTTCCCACTATCTCCAATCTACCTGAATGGCAAATTAATGTAAGTCCTCCGACTCTTTACGAAGTTGAAAAAGCTATAGAAAATCTGAAGCGTGGGAGAGCAGCAGGCCCTGACAGGTTTACCCCTGAGGTTTTTAAGGATGGTGGTCCAGTATTAGCAGCGAGATTGACTGAGGTCTTAGATAGAATCTGGGAACTGGACGTAATCTCATCTGACTGGTCTTAATCACTGATTGTTCCAGTCTATAAGAAAGGACGAAAGTCGTCTTGTAACAATCACAGAGGAATCACTTTGACTAATTTAGTGTTTAAAATATTAGCTTCAATATTACTTCGATGCCTAACCAAAGCTCGTGAAGAGTAGACAAGAGAAAATCAGGCTGGTTTTCGACCTGGACGTGGTTGTATAGACCAGATATTCACACTAAGTCAGGTCCTAGAACATCGACACACATTCAGACGCCGCACAATCATAGTATTTCACGATCTTAGGGCGGCATTTGACTATGTTCATCGTGAAGTTCTATGGCAGTGTATGTAACTTAAAGGAGTACTAAAGAAGTACATTATAAAGTCTACTCTCCATTCTTGTTTAACTTTGTCGTTGACGTGCTTTTAGAGATAACCATTTCCCTATCTAAATTTCCAGGGGTTGAACTTTTACCGGGAGATTCACTTGTTGACTTAGAATATGCCGATGACATAGTTCTATTTGGTGAAGACGCTGACAAAATACAGAGTCTTCAGACCACCGTAAGCAACAATGCAAACATGTTCGAGATGCGATTCTCTCATCATTTCACTTATCTTGAAAGTCTCATCAGCCCTTGTGGTCTGGTTGTGACGAAATCTCAGCACGGATACAGAAGGATCGACTAGCTTTTGCCAACTTGCGTCATTTATGGCGTAAGTGACATATCCGTCTATCAACAAAAGGATGTGTTTACTGCGCAGAAGTTCGTTCCGTTCTACTTTGTGGCTGTGAAGCATGGCCAGTAAGAGTTACTAGTATTCGATCATAGGTGTCTTCGAAGCATTGCTCGTATATCCTGGCACCACCGAGTAGGTAATGTAGTTGTTAGGAAACGGGTACTAGGTAGAGATGGTAAATAAATTCATGAAGTAATGAAACTTCATCAGTTGAGATAGCTGAGACATGTGTTACATATACCCAACCACCGACTGCATCGACGAGCGATGTTTTATGGTATAGGAGTAGGTTGGATGAAAGCTAGGAGCGGCCAGATCAAAAAATGGCACAAATCCGTGAAGTCTCTGATAAGTGGACTGAGACAATGTTGGCAGGTGTAGAGTGCCTGGTTGGGTTCTGGGATTTGATAGCAACTGATGGTTAGAGATCTTGAATGACAAGGCTCGAAATCGTTTGCAATGACGCTGGTAAATCTACTCTTTGTGTTCTCCCGAAATGTAATCTTTTGAATTTTTCATGTCCTTTTTTTTCTATTTCCAAATTTATTTCACTGGATTATACTCCTTGAATAAGATCTTCAAACCCTAATCTTTCCAATTACTGCTTATACTTTTACTAGCTCTACCACTGTGGGATTTGAATTGACAACTACATATATATATATATATATATATATATATATATATATATATATATATATATATATATATATATATATATATATATATAATCCAACCACGGAGAAACCGTGCAGAATAAATTTAATTAAGTTGGTGGAGAAATCATATCATTTCAATCAATTATTATTCTTGACAACTTCGTTATGTCCAAAAAATATATGGATACAAAGTATTTTTACAACAGAAACATCGCTTGATGCCAGTATAACAAAACTATGTAGTCAGCAAAGTCGACGAATATGTTATCTTATTAAAATGTATTATTAATTCAGAATAAGTGAATGTGTATTTTTTAAGTCAAATTTCATAATGCAGTAACGGTGCCACGTAATTTGATCATGAGTATCTAACAAAACAACTAATGTTGTGTTACTGTAAGGTACACTGACTAATCTCATAATTTTAAAAACGACTTTAGCTTTATTCAACTTTATTTGGTTATCGCCGATCGAATTTTTTATCCGAGTTATGAAAGTTTTGAAAAAATATTCAGTAGAGACTGAACAATAACCCATTATCACTGTTCACAACGGATTTATAATCCGATTATTAGATCTCGAGGTAACATAAGCTTAGCTTAAAATCTAGCTTTATAAATTTCCGATTGGGTTATAATTAAGAACCATACGTTGGAGAAATTCTGGGGTCTAGGATGTCAAGGATTTTTAACAAAGTTGTGAACATATTATCAACCGATAACTCTCCTAATATTTATTCACTATACGGGAAAATTCTTTTCCCATTTCCCTCTTTCTAACTTTTGTATGGGAACCATAAGATTAGTTTTTGAATGACGGATACGAAAAGCTCCCCGTGAATACAGATATTTACTGGTCACCTGTTTCGTAGATTAAAAAAGATTAATTAATCATACCTTTCGCAATATTATGAGGTGAATTCTCAACAGATCAACCAATATACGTTGACAAAAGAAACCTGAGGGATAAACCTCAACTCATAACAATGTTCTGTTCACAATATATATTTTCTAGTGTTGCGTTCTCTGAGCTAAATGAAGCTGTCACTGACCTTTTAGACAGCATCCTTATTTCATCATCTAGAAACTAGATAATGACTGATACGTAGAAGATTCAACCGATCAGTATATCTAAGTTATCATTTTCATATTTATAGGATTAGGAAATATTGAATAAATGTCAAAAACTAAAAAATCATGAAAAACATTAAAACAACAGCTAACAATAGCTCACTTATTAATGAGTGTTGAGAAGAAAGGATTTGAATTTCGAATAGTTTTTTATCTGATGTTGAGTTGACAAGGAAATCATCATTTAATCAGTTACACCGTAAATATTTCATTCATCACGAGTTTGCTTCGATGTAAATGTCACATTTTTATTAAAATACTTATACTATTTTTTAAAAAAGAATAAATATGTGGCACATATCATGTTTTCATGACTTAATCTTAAGATTTGAGAATTTCTATGTTATTCAATTACAGATTTTGTGTTGCGTTACCTACAAATATTAAAACGAAGATTAAAAACTACGAAACATAACTGTCCTAGTACTAAGTGTTATGCAGGCATAATGTGCATACATGATAATAAAATTACAAATATAAATAGCCTGAACAAAAGATAACTTTTAAGCATTCTCAAAAGAAAAGTAATAATTCGGTACGAATCATACCAAAAGCACATGAAAACTTTGGATCAAACACAAAGCAAACAACTTACCTGTAAACGAGCAAAATTTTGACGAAGTGTATTTTCACCTGGTTCCTTAGCATTGACAGTTGCTGATTCTCCTTCATCTAACCTTGGCAACCGACTATTATGCGGCATCATTGATTGCGGTGTAACAGCAGGTAGCTTATTAACTACTGACATAGGATTTCGTGAGATAAATCGAGCATTCACTGGTACATTATCATTTACAATATTACCACTTTGTATCATATGTCCATGTTGTCTATAGTTTAATCCAGATACAGATGGTTGTGAAACAAACGACGCTACTTCGTTTTGATCAGGAACTCCACTAGTTCGAAGCACTTGATTATGGGGAGGTTTATCTGTTGGCTGACGAAATTGAGGTGGATGATGACCTATTTGACTAGGTAGACGATGTGCTTGACCATTTCCACTAACAGCAGCTGACATAGCTAGAGCAGCGGCAGCAGCTCCTTTAACAGCTGCACTAGTTTCCTCCTCCTCCTCTTCATCACTTCCTTCATATTCATAAATTTTTTCATGTTCTTCAGCTGATGCGATAAAAAAAAAGTAAAATATGATTATATTGATAGTGCAAAAAAATTTACTCTATACTTACACAAGTGAATAACTGTTTGCTGGTGAGTTACCATGATAAGATAAAAGGATTTGGTAAAAATTATAGTATAAGAAATAAATCAGAATAAAAAACGTGATTTTTAGGATTTTGTGAGAAATTAGAATATCAACTATTACGAGTAGTCAAAGTATCTCTGTACACTGTTCAAAACATTTAAAATGATAGCGAAAATTCATAGAGTGAAGATGATAGTGTTGAACGCATAAAATGAACAATCCTTTCTCTGTAAATTATATAAAACAAAGAACTGGTACTATCGTCGAATCCCTCGATCATGAAACAACCCTTGACCTACTGACATTATATTTTAGACTTATAGTGCCTACTGTATTTTTGCACGAAAATCGCTCGCCTGTTTGACTACAGAGCATTTTTAAATTACAGTTGACATCAATTGGAGATGAAGATTCTTGCTATACATACCTAACCCTATCCACTCGGGTCTTCATAAAAATTCAAGATGGGCATTTTACACCCATAAGGAAGAATTTATAAATCGTTTTTTTCAATTTACAACTAGGGTAACCTATAAGAGACTTTAATAGATGTTTTTCCTTACACGAACTATCTGCTTACAAAAGCTACATTCTGACTGACAAGAAACTGGATGAAAATTCGTTGAGGTTATTTAGAACTCATCCCTATGCTTTAGTCTCGCCGTAGATTTCCTCATTACTTAACAGACATTAATTTTTTAAACTTTGAAATACCACTGTATCAAGATGCCAGTACCATAAAAATGTCGCCTATACGTTCTCACTTGCTTCAAATATTACTTAATTTGCTGTATCACCATATAGGATTGATCAGTAGAAGAAAATAAAAATCAGACAAAATACTTAACTGTAGTTCATCTAAGGATACCTTTTATAGATAACGAAACTTCGTAAATAAGAAGCAAGATTTACAAAAAACTGTGGTAATTACTCATCATTCAAGTAAATATTTCACTATTCTCATTTATATGAAACAGCTTTATGATACAACGAAGAAACTAGCAGGGAAATGTAGTAAACCAGAGAGACCAGTCAAAGGCAAAGAAGGAAGACCAATCACTGAGATTCAACAACAGCGCAACAGATGGGCAAAGTACTTCGAGGAACTCCTGAATAGGCCGGCACCAATGAATCCACCGGACATCGAAGCAGCACACACAAATCTCCTTATAGATGTCAATCCACCAACTACCGAAGAAATCAGTATGGCCATCAGACAAATCAAGAGCGAGAAATCATCAGGACCCGACAATATACCAGCTGAAGCACTGAAGTCGGACATCGAAGTAACGACAAACATGCTTCATCTTCTATTCAAGAAGATTTGGGAGCAGGAACAAATGCCGATGGACTGGAAGGAAGGACACCTCATCAAGATTCCAAAGAAAGGAGACCTGAGCAAGTGTGAAAACTACAGAGGCATTACACTACTGTCAATACCAGGAAAAGTCTTTAACAGAGTGTTACTAAATAGGATGAAAGACACAGTAGACACTCAACTTCGAGATCAACAAGCTGGATTTCGTAAGGACCGGTCGTGCACAGACCAGATTGCGACACTACGGATCATCGTCGAACAATCAATCGAATGGAACTCGTCATTGTACATCAACTTCATTGATTATGAAAAGGCATTTGACAGTGTAGATAGGAGGACGTTATAGAAAATTCTACGACACTATGGAGTTCCTGAGATTGTCAACATTATCCGGAACTCATACGACGGACTACAGTGCAAGACCATGCATGGAGGACAGCTGACAGATGCATTCCAAGTGAGGACCGGAGTAAGACAAGGTTGTCTACTCTCTCCCTTCCTCTTTCTTCTGGTGGTCGACTGGATTATGAAGACCTCGACATCTGAAGGAAAACACGGCATACAATGGACAGCTCAGAACTAATTAGACGATTTAGACTTCGCAGATGACCTAGCCTTCCTATCGCATACACACGAACAAATGCAGACAAAGACAGCCAACATAGCAGCAGTCTCTGCATCAGTAGGCCTCAAAATACACAAAGGGAAAACCAAGGTCCTCAAACACAACACGGAGAACAGCAGTCCAATCACTCTTGATGGCGAAACTCTGGAAGACGTGGAATCCTTCACATACCTGGGAAGCATCGTCAATAAACAAGGAGGTTCAGATGCAGACGTAAAGGCTAGGATTGGCAAAGCAAGGACAGCATTCCTTCAATTAAAGAACATATGGAACTCAAAACAACTTTCAACTAACATCAAAGTCAGAATCTTCAATACGAACATCAAGGCAGTTCTACTGTACGGAGCTGAAACTTGGAGAACTACAACAACCACCACCAAGAAGGTACAAGTATTTATCAATAGCTGTCTACGCAAGATACTCAACATCCATTGGCCGGATACCATCAGCAACAGCCTTTTGTGGGAGAGAACCAACCAGCTTCCAGCGGAAGAGGAAATTAGGAAAAGACGATGGAAATGGATAGGACATACATTGAGCAAATCATCAAACTGCATTACGAGACAAGTCCTAACTTGGAATCCTGAAGGGAAGAGGAAAAGAGGAAGGCCAAAGAACACATTACGTCGGGAAATAGAAGCGCATATGAAAGGGATGAATAAGAACTGGAAAGAGCTGGAAAGGATTGCCCAGGACAGGGTTGGATGGAGAATGCTGGTAAGCGGCCTATGCTCCTCCACGAGGAGTAACAGGCGAAAGTAAGTAAGTAAGTAATTTATACCACTTAGATAAATAATCGCAAAACACATTTAATACATAAAATTTAGTCAGCACTAACAAATAGATATTACAAAAATGATCATTATTTGGTAACCATTTGGTTTAAAAAGTTCAGTCATGCAAGAGTTAGATGTATTCCGAACAATCGATTAGTAAAGTCTCTAACTGTAGCGTTGAACCACACGGGTTAAAATATACACAAACGTCATTGTGGAGCGTCACACAAAATATTACCAGTTAAAGTGATCAGCATCAACTAACGTGACTTAGACTAACTGTCAATGACTCCATGGGTCGATACCATGTCTTAGTGTGACTGATCCTAGCTTATTCTAGCCTACTTACACACCAACAAACATAGCTTGTCGAGGTAGGTGAGTGATCGGGTATACGTAACCCATGTTCTAACTACTTCAGTCGAATAATCACTCGGCAATCAGTATCCATTCAAGTGATCGAGAATTATCGAAATGAATTTTAATATCACCTACCTAAAGAGAAATTTCAAGATGTTTTGTTTATCAGAAAAAAAAGTAATTCATTCGTTTGTGACCGTATAATAAAGGAATAATAGCGTTACTTCGTTCAAAAAATAAAGTACAATATATAGACTTTAATGCACGATATGACCGACCATAAGTTATTTCGTTTCGATTGTCCTTCACCTATTTAATGTAGTCATAATAAACTACGACTTTTAAACCCGATAATTTTAATGTTAGGAAATGTCTTCACCGAAAAGACCACTAATTTATCTTTGATATGATTTTATTATGTCTTGGAAATGCGTATGTTGATTTAAAATTTATTTCTACGAAAGTGTTGAAGTTTTATTCGATAGATAAAAGGTTATTCTTTTTCTATAGATTTTAAGTCTCATCAATTTTCCAACAATATTTGTATATGGATAAATAACCGTTTAAAAAATATCTATATGAATGTAATAAATTATATTTAACGAATCCGAGCTCTTAAGCGTGAGAAATGGTTGAAGACAATAGGAAGCAAAGAATATCTATAATAATAAGAGAACTAATGATCCTCAATGGGATACGGAACTGCTGACCTACATATAAATTTATGTAGGACGACTTGTTCTGTTGTATCATGTATTATGTTGTTGTCACAATGCACTCAGTCTTTTAAAGCTACAAAAATTTCATTAATCCTCTAGTGACTGGTGTTAATTAAAAACACTGTAATAAGATATAGGATAGTGTTATTTTGACAAAGTGATAATAAATAACGAAAAGTTAACTAATTTACTTTGCCTATTTCGTCTATGTCTATCTATATGATCTTTGAGTTGAATTCTAATTTGTCGTTCATTTGGTAAATTTGTAATGAATTCATGTCGAAATAATTCTGATGTATTTGGACGTTTATGGAAATCTTTAGTTAAACATTTATTGACAAAATCATGAAATCTTGGTGTCCAATGTCTAGATCCGTTCGGTGATTGTTTTAATCGAGGTGGTGAGTTACGCATAATTAAGAAAAGTGCACGCATTGGATGCATTTCACATAATGGTGGTCGACCTTCAGCCATTTCTAAAGCTGTTATACCCAATGACCAGATATCTGAACGAGCATCATATGTACAACTTGAGTCTTGTTCGCAATGAATCACTTCAGGCGCCATCCTATAAATTCCAAAAAAAATAAGAAAACTTGAAATGAAGTGTAATAATAATGATATAGAGGTTGAAAATAGACCATATCATTAGGAGAAATCATTCATTTGAGCACGTCTTCAATTAGGCAGAACAGGAGTGAAAATTAAGTTAACGATACTGATTAGTAATTAGTAGCAGTTCTATTTCATGAGTTAACTATTTCTACCACAATCACACGATAGTTACTAACTACTAATGTCTTTGTGTGACTAAACTGATAAACAATTTAGTATAACGGTGTATCACTTCAAGTTTTGACAATTTAATAAAAGGAGTAAGAATCTTCAATACGAATGTAAATACAGTTCTACAGCAGGGAGCTGAAACTTGGAGAACTACTACAACCATCACCAGAAAAATACAAGTATTTATGAACAATTGATTACGCAGCAACAGCCTACTGTAGGAGAGAACAAACTAGCTTCCAGCTGAAGGGGAAATTAAAAATGGATAACACATAAATTTCGTAAATCATTAAACTACACCACGAAGCAAGTGCTAACTTGGAATCCTGAAGAGAAATGGAAAAGTGGAAGACCAGAGAACACACTGCGACGAGAATTGAAAGCAGATATGAAAAGGATGAATAGTAACTGGGAAGGATTGCTCAGGACAGAGTTAGATGAAGAATACTGGTGGGTGGTCTATGTTCCTCTACGATGGGTAACAGATGCAGTGAAGGAAAATCATGAAACTCATATATAAGGATGGAGAAACATTATCAAAATACACTACCGTAACCATCATATTTCTGGCTGAAACTATACTACTGTCGTAACAGTGACGTAACAATACCACTGGGACACATTATACTTTACTTAAACAATTAAGTTTACCATCTCAGTTAGTGCTAATATTCACTAAGTAGATTATTGTAATAAACCTATCAATTGAATAATAACGTTACCCGATTTTTTTAATGAAGTCAAGGATGTGATTCTCCAACTCATGAGATAAGCGTTGGGAATCAAACATTTAAATGACTTAAGCACTATTACATATTACAATTTCACTAAGAACATATCAGAGGAAGACGCTAATTCCACATTGTATCGTATCAGTGAATTAACACGTTATAGCAGAAAATCTGTTTAGACAGTGAATATACTTATAGTTTTGAGACAAAAACACTGGTTATTCAGTTTTTCAACTACTTTCTTATACTTGTTCTTTAAACTATCTAGTTCACATTCATATTTCACTTCAAAACTTCTTTTTTCTGATTTTTTTCGAGACAAAGCACCTTAAGTCAATAGCCAATTTATTCATTGTAAATAGGTAAACTCAGTGCGGTTTTTTAATTTATTATATTATAATGAATTACATATTAGATACTTGTAAAGAATCTGGTCAACGGTTGTAATTAAAGTTAGGTCATGACAAAATTTGACCAATTGGATTTCAAATTTCAGAAATGAAAATGCATAAACAAAATGGGGATTGAGAGTGAAAAAGAAACTTTTTTTGGCTGTTAGTAATTGACACATAAAGAAAAAATAGAGGATAAAAAGTAGACACAGCATATATATATATATATATATATACATTAGATTTATTGACGAAAAAATAAGGAGATTCATAAAAGCAATCAGTTTTCACATTCTCAAGAAGACAAAGAATATTACTGAAATGTTGAATAATCTCATATTAAATGTCACGTAGGCTTTGAATAATATGAATATATGAAATGACATTTAAAGTAATCTATTGGGTCAAAGTAATGTTTAAAGCAGGTATATATCGATTAGAGATGTAACGGAATACACAGATATTACATCATCATTACACATTTGAAGCATCGCCAACACATAGCGAAACCATAGATTTTCCAATGGTATGTAAAGTTCCGGGTATAGAATAGATACACCAATTGACATAGTTGTGAGCCGAATTCCAGTCAAATTGATTAGACAAATATAAAAACATGGTTAACGACTGACTATCACCACGTGATGGGCAGCCTATGCTACTCGACTAGGGGTAACATGCGTAAGTAAGTAATCACCACGTGAGATGATTTCAAAAATTGTATTGAAAAATATTCTCCAGGTGGGGTCACAACATGGTAGATTACGTTGTGAGTCAGTGAGACAGATAAAATCAAAACCTAAAAAGACAGAATAAGCCAAGATGGATGGTGGCTAGCAGGGGCATCCAGGACGCGCGTTTCGTTCTATTTGGGACTCGTTAGCTGGATGTATCTGCATCCCAGATTTGATGTTCACTCTGAGATTCGAACAACGAATAAAAAACGAATCGAGAAAAACATAGTACAAAACAAATTATATTACAGCGGTCATAATGATAACTACTGAAATAGAGTATCGTCAGTCATAAAAATTCCAAACATTTACTGAAAAAGATGCCGGAGTATCGAAGCAAAACATTTAGAACTTCTAAATGAATGGTGCTTAGTATGTTCAGACGATAGTGACAAATCATATGAAAACTTATTTCTATTCAGAGAATATTTAGACTGAGATAATGTCTCTATGTTCTCTGTATTTCTTAGAAGTATATAAGTGATCAATTCTACCAATGAAAGTCAGAAACATTCATCATCGTTGTTCCCATATCCCATTTCGACGTAACAAAGTCATTAATGTTATTCCAGAGGTAAAAGTACTTATTTACAGATATACAGGGACTGATTTTCTGTCCAGATTACATCGACCATAACACATACAGATATTCAACTTCCACTCGATATTTATAAGGACCAGGAGAACTATAAGATGCTATTCAGCATAAATACTTGTAATAGATAAAATTTTCAAAGGTTCGTACAAATCAACTCTCATTCTTACATACACAAGGGAGAAAATAATGTTTATCGAATAAACTATAAACCGAAAATAGTTTTATGTTGCAAAATATGATTAGCAAAAAAAAACGAGAAACCAATCCAACCGAATTTGTTTCTCTTCATGAAAAAAAAATATCTGTATATATACACGCATGTGCAAATGTTAAGTAAAAACAAAAAAATAAGTAAATGATTATTTAATGTGCTTTGTTGTTTACTGTTTTTGAAAGGAAAACCTTCAACAATAATCTGAAACTGAGGAATCCAGGAAGAAGGTGGAATTGCATAGAAACTTGGTATTCGGGTAGACAAGCTGTACATCTAGTAACAAAAATATTATCTTGAAGCACAGTAAGTTAACAGACAAAAAGTAGTAACAGCCAATCAGATAGGAACAACAGTTATACGAAAATGTAAATTAGAAAAATTGTACGCAGGATTATTGCGTTCACTAATAAAAATTAAATAACGCAGGATCTCTTTCGTAGAATGAACACTTATGGTTGGTAGAATCAAGATTATATAATCAAAATTATGTGCACTTAATTTAGTCACATAAATTAAAAAGAAAATATTCTATTAAAAAGAGAAGAAAAAATGAAATAAAAAGCATGAAACTTTATGAAATAATTGATATTTTTTAACAGTATAATAGTTGAACTAGTGGAAAGTCATTAAGTAGTTAAGCAAGTTATTTATACTACAACGAACAAGGTATTATTTTACGAAAAAGGTTGTATACATGATAAACACTGATGTGATTTTTTACATACGCTAAAGGGAATAAACTGATCAACTTATTTATGTTAAAGTCTACTAGAACAAATATTAAGATATCAAAAAATCATTCAAAACAACAATCAATAAAGTGGAAACATTCTAACGAAGTACACGAAGAGACAAGAGAAGATTTGGTAAAGATTAATCACGATTGAAAAAGTTTAGTAGCACCAACGTCTTTGTTTTTCGGGTCGAATAACACTAATTTGAACAGTTGTAATGCAGTAGCTACTTTATAGTTCTAGGTAAATTTTGGTGATCAGTGTCAAATAACTGACGCTAATTGCTGATTGTCTTGAACCACTTAACATGTACAACTTAAATCAAAAACGACTTATTCGATGAAATAGTTTATTACCTAATCTCATCAACTTGAAATGAAATATTTTTTAATTTTTATTGTAATCCTTTCAAGCTAGCAGCTTAGTTTAGGTGAGAAAGATGACAAACATGTGTTGCAAACATCACAGTAGATTCAGGCTCGAAAATACATGCGAGTAATTTATTCTTATTTATCATAAACTTAAGATTAGAATGCGAAATTTAATGTAGATTATCAAGTACAGGTCAATACACCTGACCACCTAGACTGAAATAGGTATTGAAAATTCCAAATCAGCTCTATCCAATGTTTAAATGCTGAGTGTTTTCACTATTCAATCTATGGTTCATCTAAGGCTTAAACTGGACACTACCTACTTAGTAGCTAATGTATTTTACATGAGCAATCTACTACGGCAATATCAATAAAATAACTATATCCGTTTTATAACAAAAACCATTTTAAAGTGTTTTGTCTTATATACTTGTAATATTAATTGTATATAGTTGAAAGAATAATAACACTTGGATGGTGTAAATATTTATTACAACTTGGTTTAAAATTCGTATTACACGATATACTTGAGAAAAACTATATAATCCTGTCTATCATCATAAACTGAACTTAATATTCAATTTTATTCTAGATAAAAAATGGATTGTATTATTTTCAATTTATTATAAACATTTACTGAATAATTAGTAACTCAATCACATTGTATCGATTTTCCGATGATAATTAGTTGGAAAGAGATAATCAAATGATGTTTATATAAAACAGACAAGAATTAATTGAATTAATAAATAAACAATCACATTGCTTTTTTGTAAAAACAGTAAACCTATATATATATATATATATATATATATATATATATATATATATATATATATATATATATATATATATATATATATATAATTCAGAAAAGTAGTCAGTGGTTAAAAAATGATATTTTAGTTCCAATAAGCCAATAATAGCTGGGATATTATCTAATAGGATTCTGGAACTACTCAGAGGTCGCGAACTGGCAGTAATACAATTCTAAATGGTATATCTTGAAATACTATTTTGAAAAGTTATGAGATCTAGGTAAAGAAGACAGGGTTACAAACAATACGATGATTATGTGTTAAGAAAATTGAGGGAATGACACATCCTATATCTAAATGACTGTGGTTATGAAATACTAACAATTAAATTCTGAAGTATGATGATTCTTTTCTTTCTATTTAGAAAAACCCAGCTTACCAGTACGGGGTCCCAATAAATGTATTCCGTTTACCAAATGTTTTGTCCAATTGTGCACTCACTCCAAAATCGACTAAACATAGTGGCAACAGGAATAGAAAGGAAGAGAAAAAAAAGCAGAAAAGTCACAAACTGGTATAATCTACTTTCATAAAAATAATTAATATCACAATTAGAACTGTTAGCAACATAAACTTTAAGTATGACACTGAATAGAAAATTGTCAGTAGCATAAGCTGATAAATATTGGATTTAAAAAACACTTTTGATGTACCCGAACAAACAAGAAAATGATAGCTACAGTCCGATGATGTAACCACGTGTTACCTGATTACCTAATAACATATTCGAACTCAATCCCAATTATTTTTATTATAAGTCGTTAATTATCGGTTAATACATGAAACATTTAAACTACTTAACATGAAAAAATCTTTGTGGTGATACGATAATAATAAGAATTAACTTGTCCAATTGTCTTTTAAATACTAAAACATCAAAGACATAAGCTCTGTGCTACCGATAGTAAAACAAACTCGGAGAGTTAGACGGTATCATTAAATTGAATATCACGCTAAATAATCGCCCTTATGACTCATTACTGCAACTTATTTCATTTCAATTACCCGAGTCACACATACGATGCAAACACACTAAACCAACCTATAGTTCACTAAATTTTACAATTTTAAAACGTCTGAGAATGGAAGTAAACCGACACGTTAAAAAATATTTCTAATGTACTAAGATAAAAACAGTAGTATGCAACATGGAACTTGATACATGAGTACATCAATTCAAGTAGCTAACACCCCGCTACCACAGAGAGATGAAATTTCGGGGTAAATCCTAGAGTGGTAGAGGTAATAACAATATTAATAATATCTAATCATTGGTTATGATAATCACGTGAATCCTAGTCAGGTAATCTGTACATACTTACATGGTTCAGTCAAAGGTAATAGAGTGATGTCAATCCACGGATGTTCGCAACTAAAATACAACGAAAGTCGTTACATATGCATATGAAGATAAGCAAATCGCTTAGGTTATTTCCAAATATGAACAATGCGAAGATTTGTTTGTGTTTTCTATGTAATATCATGACATCACACATCAACTCAACAAACCAGTAATAGAGATACGGCAAAAGATATTATTAATACAACAACTGGTGATTGCCAGTATATACTATTTCCAGAAAAACACCGTAAGTAGTTAAATAAAAATCTGCCAATCATGAAAAGTTTCAAAACGAGAAGAGTAAGCGATAACCTAAAGGGTGAACACGACAAATGTGAAGTTCATCAATATAACAAAAACCCATCATTTAACAAATATTTCGTAATGAAAATAATTAGGAGCGAAGAAATTTAAAAAATATGGTTTAATCATTCCCAGTGCCGTTGATAGGTTATAATTTAACTACCAAAAACATAATCGTAACCTAGCGACTTCCATTGGATAAGAGTAGAAAAGTGGTTCAAGAAGGTAAATCGTGAGCCGAATCTGTTTGGTCAAAAATGCCTTGTAAGCAATGACTTGGTACCTTTGACAATAAATAGTTTAATAGTCAAGAATAAATTTGTAAATTCACATCTCCTAGGCATCACTGAAAACGCCTTTATGACATTAAATCATAACACACTAATAGTCAGATAAGTCAGTCAATATAGGATTCATACAGGTATGTATTTTTGTAATTTAAAGTTTCTAAACTGGTAAACGTCAGAAGAAAATAATAAGATGTTTCCTAAAATCCTAAAAATAAGACAAAACAATGTAGTTACCCTTAGATATTCGCTTAAAAATACTTCAAAACGACAATTCCAGTTTTTTAGGCATGTCGTCTTTCGTTTATTATTATATAACTACATGTGACGCGAATTAGAACCGATAAAACATTGTTGTTTGTTAGTCAGTTCTAACCAAAAAATCAATACATCATGAAACTTATTTATTTAGATTCGGATACGTCATGCTCTCGTCGGTAAATGTGCAAATCACAAAATTTTCAATAATGTCTTGCTTTTGTTTGTTGTTCAATAACTACTAATAACTAAAACTAAACAAAAAGATTTAACACATATGCCTCATGTAATTTAGTTTCATAGGGCATAAATCACAATTCAATCAAACAAAAACGATAACTAATTTCAATACACGTCATATGGATAATATATTGCATAAAAAACAAGATTTACAATAACAGTAGAAAGTAAGGAATCAGACACTAGGTTATAGAGCGAACCTGTTACATAAAACTCAATGATATTAAGTGGTCAACAAAATCAACTAGGAAGGTTTGAATAGGTGACTTTATCTTTGGAAATCTCATATGTTCCCGAATCATTGGCTGAAACTATAATCCATACGTTTTAATTCTAACATAGTTGTACAGTTAGCTTGGTGACATGAACTTATTCATTTAAAAGACATTAATATTGACATAACGGTTACCAAAATAAATATGCATCTCATAAAAAGAATGAAAGTGTGACGAAATAAAGAAAGGTGGAGAATACAATCCCAACAAATAAATGAATAAGAAAAGAAGTGAATGACAATAGCGTAAAAGAGGAAGTTCAGTTAAGAACACAACTAGGAAAGCATCTTTCATTTCAATGAGTTCCTCTGACTTCCCTCTACGCTATGAAAGGATACTTCTTATTGGAGTATCTGAAAAGGAAACTGAGTTAGATGTGGTCTTAACTACCCGGGAACATGAACTTAGTGTCCAAGGGATAACTGATTCAGACCCGTTACATACAACCTCTTTGTGAGTAGTTATGAGTTAGATCTTTACTTTCAATGCTTTACTACCGACTGTGTAAATCTGAAGCAAAGTGAGATAAGCTGTTTTCAGGGTCAATCTCCGTACGTTTTTGGAAGGCAGCATCACTGAGACTGACAGATATTTGAGGGTAATACCTTACTGCGTTCACAGCCATTTACAGTCAGCCAGCAGTTTGTTATTTTTAGTTTTACCACTCTGACCAACCTGCCTAGTGTGGTAGGACATTGAGGAACAAATGTTAGAGCTAAAGTAGCATAACTGGGTCATCACAATACCAAGGTACGACCATCACATTAGGATAGAAGAAGAGAATAACAATATTATCTTTAGTGACTGAAATTTTACTAAATACCTACTACCTTATAATCCAGGAACAATATTAGTGGATGGGAAAGCCACTACATATCAGTTATAGTACAATTCAAGGGAAATAAGAATAGGTTAGAGTAAGTGAACGTTTCTTTTTTGTAAATTTATTTGTTATGTTAAAATATTATATACATTATATTATACATCCCTCAAGGAATATAAAATGTGTAAGCACAACCAACAACCAAAACGGTAACAGTGATGATCATGATGATAACACATTCATGATAATAGTGAACTTACCAAGTTTCACCTCAGCATTATCAGTGAGCAATACATTTTGACCTTTAATGTCTCGATGAATCACACGATTTGCATGTAAATGCATAAGACCCTAGGAAAGAAAGTAAATTTTATTTAAAATAAATATATTTCAGAAAATGAATGGAATGCATATGGAGGAAGAAACAAACCTATGAACCAAACAAGTTTACTAAAAATAAAACAATGACCTTTCAGATATAGGTCATAATATTTGAATAAATTATAGTGTCAGTTAAAGAATTTTTAATTCCAAAAATTTAAAAACTAAGAAAAATTATTGAATCATATCAAATTGTAAGTTAAAAAATAGGATTTTTAAAGGCAAGTCTTATTTATTTCAAAACTCACCATTAACTGAATAGACAACAGTTAATTACTAAATATCACATATAAACGTTTCTCCATAAGAATGAAATAGCAACCCATAATTTAAAAACAGATGAATCGAATCACATTGATGTCTTTTCTCAGAAAAGCTATTGTGAGTTTGAATACTATATGTCATATTCAATCAGATAGTTACAATGTAGAACCTGGTACGTACGCATATCGGTTCAGGTTATCAAATCTAATTAGTACAGTGAGATGAAATTTTAAGGCCTAATTCTAGAATAGAAGAGGTAGTAATGTGGTGTGTGCTACTGATTTCGACAGATATAATTAGTATGTATCATCAAACGAAACTGAAATACCTCGCACTAGAGGGTTAAGAAGATCGAAGAAAAGAGAACAAGAACAGTGCATGATTGCTGTAGAAACGAATGAACAGTGAACTATGAGACGATTGATTGACATTTTGCAAATTAAGTATTTACTGTATGGTTCGCATATTTTATTAAGATGCTCTGTAATTCTGTATTCGAAAACATTCGATTGTCCCACTTGTGTTCTCGTTCACTACAATAATGAGTGATAATAGGAAAGATTAAGCATCGAAGATAAAACTCAAAGAGAAAATATAAATTAGTGAAATATAAACACAAGAAGTTAAGGGGAATTTAGCGGATGCACTTGCATCATGGCAAACGATTTTGAATCACGTCATTGAAAGTCACTAACCATTAGTAACGATAACCAAATAGACCCTAACTACGTAGACTACACCTATTAGAATGATTCAATCTAATTGTCGCAGTCTTAATGGACTTGTGCTTTGTTTTCGTTTTGCCGTCTGTCTAGCCTTTTTCCAGCTTACTCGTACATCAGACAACATCGATCTTCGAAGTAGGCGGTGGTTGAGTATACGTGACACATAAGTCCCGATCACTTCACTTGATGATGATTTACTACCTCATCTATCGATTTACCATATTTACCTAGCACTCTATTCTTACACCAGGCATTGCTCACACAGGGTTCTAAAAATACACGACCAATGCTTCGAAGATACTTATCGAATATCAATAACCTAAGAATATCTTCCATTTTTAATTGCCATGTTTTATATCCATAAACTATAGCGGAATGAACAACTGCACGGTAAAATCGTGCTTTATTTGGAAGATAGGTATCTCACCTACTCCGCAAATGACGTAAGTTGGTAGAAGCTAATCAAGTTTTTGGAATCCTTGCTAAGATTTCGTCAGACGTCAGATCATCAGAAGTGGTTAGACTCCTAAGATAAGTGGAGCAGTCGATGAGTTCAACCATTTCACTCCCGATCATTAATTCATAGGGTGACGCAAGCCAATCCTAAAGTCACATTTTACATTAGGAGGAAAAGAACCTCATTTCAATCTAATGCTATTTTCGTCAGACGTTCAGATGCAAGTTGGCTATTTTCAGTTAGTAATCAATCCATGAATGTGGAAAATAATATCGATTAAATTGAATATTGCGATAAATATAATGAACAACTAATTATTAATGTAGATTATGTATCTTTAGACACACGATAAAATTGTTTTAACAAAACATAAATAAATAAACTTACTGTTTAAATAACAGTTTTCATAAGCAAACTAAATTCAACGTTACTTGAATAGTATAAGGGTGAATACATAACATACTAATCATGATTAGAATCTAGGTATGGCGTCCAAAGAAATTTGGAGATAAAATTTGCATTTATAATGTTCCCATTCTATTCTATGTGGACCAAAATGTTTTTCTCTAAATATTCAATTTATCACTGTGTGAGTGTACACCTTAAGGTTGTATAGTTTAAATCAATACTATCATAAGATACAATTAGTTTTGTCTTGAAAAACAAATAATACCAAGTATTTATATTAGTTAAGAGGACACTGGAAACCAAATGGTATTGATCAATCTTATGCAATCACAGACGTGAATTTAGCATTTATACAAACGATATTTATTTCCAATTAATTCTCAAATTATGCTCATATTTAGACTAATTATTCTTTAATCATTTCATATGCAGAGATTACTATATGAATAATTCTCCGTCAAATAATTTCACTTTGAATGCATCTTAATTAAACAATGTCTTTTCTCATCAGTAATTAAAATTGTCTTGTAAACTTAGCTTAACAAGGTGGATTGTTTTCGTGTTAAGGAAAGTATTTAAAATTTGTTGTACAGAAAGAGACAACAACAAATTTTCAATACAAAAACGAATTCATTGTTTGCTGATTTTTTGAAAATTTACTACTCCCAATTTAATCACATCTCTAATGAAAATATTGAAATTTCAACAATAAAACGGAATAGTTTGAGATGTATCTTTAGTACAAATATATATCAATCTTCTAATAGTGGTTTTAAGCTTGTTAAGGTGTCATGAATCCTGATAAACTGAAGTGGTCGGAACTTATGTGTCACGTATACTCAACCACCGCCTACTTCGAAGATCGATGTTGTCTGATGTACGAGTAAGCTGGAAAAAGGCTAGACAGACGGCAAAACGAAAACAAAGCACAAGTCCATTAAGACTGCGACAATTAGATTGAATCATTCTAATAGGTGTAGTCTACGTAGTTAGGGTCTATTTGGTTATCGTTACTAATGGTTAGTGACTTTCAATGACGTGATTCAAAATCGTTTGCAATGATGCAAGTGCATCCGCTAAATTCCCCTTAACTTCTTGTGTTTATATTTCACTAATTTATATTTTCTCTTTGAGTTTTATCTTCGATGCTTAATCTTTTTTATTACCACTCTTCTATTCTGGAATTAGGCCTTACAATTTCATCTCACTGTACTAATTGGGTATGACAACTTGAACCGATATGAATATGTACCAGATTCTACATTGTAACTAAATGACTTGTTAAGGTGTAAATCACATTCATTAATTAACATACACAAATTCAATATAATATTCATATACATAGAAAGTTCAATATTGATATGAGGAAATAAGAAGACAAAATTATGATTTTAACTTGTTATAACTTTTTTTTCAAGATAACTTCCATTTTTAATTTAATATGATGATTACTCAGTGTAATATTTATTGTCAATGTGTTATTTTGTACAAAATAACATTGATATATTACGGTATGATGTTTATTCAAGATACAATATACTTTGTATTAGATTAATGTAAACTAGGTTTAGCAACGTGGGTTACATGTGATTTCTTATAATTCAGAGGATTATATATATAGCTGTGTTGGAATTAATAATCAAATGATTGTACAAATCAATACATAAATCGGTGTATTTATGACGGGTCATCATCGTGTTTTAGTGGATATATATATATAATAATCTACTTACTCGGAGGATTTCTCGACTAATATAAGCAATCCAATCTTCTTTGAGTGATTTCGTGCGAGTACCTACAACATTAGAGAAAAGAATGTCATAACAAGACGACGACTCATCTGGAAAACTAATAATGCGAACTAAAACCAAAAATCTTTTTAAGAAATACTCTTAAATAAATAAACACTACTACTTGCAACAAGGTGACATTCACAAAAAAATATATATACAAGAGAATATATAAGCCAAAGTTGTGGAGGAGGTGGAAGACTATGTACCTGGGTAGTATTGTAGTGAACAGAACACGACCGGGGGACAATCGAATGTATTTGACAACAAATTACAGAACTTGTTAATACAATCTAACAACCATATAGTAAATGCTCAATTTGCAAAACGTCCGTTAATTGTCTCAAATGACTCAGACTTCCTCTGTTCTTGCATTTTCATACAATTGCATTCTGTTTTCATTCTTTACTGTTCGATCTTCCGTCTCTCTGCTGCCGGACATTCTGTTCACGACTAACATCATATACTACTTATGTCTACATAAGTAGCACACACCACAGTATCACTGATAAATTTGCAACATACAATCATTTTCGCATTAAATTCCTTTTAATTATATTTACTCGCTCTTATGTAACTGTTAATCAACTGTATATATATATATATATATATATATATATATATATATATATATATATATATATATATATATATATATATATATTAAAACATAGGTATTGGTACAAGGACGCACCAAATATATATGCGCCACACGAATCTCAATTGATTTGTGTGAGGGCTGTGATACTGCTCGGGTGCCCAAACCGAAGCAGGCGGTTTTCTTAGGGGGCCACACCCCGAGCCTTCGACCTGAACGTCTGACCCACAAGGCAGTGGAGCATCGTGGGGAGATGTAGTCCCATGGAAGCCGGTGACCAAGAAATCGGTTCATACGCCATTTCTTTCTTCAGGATACTGGAGCCCATGTGCACCATTGGTTTGGGATCCGATTAAAGCGCCGGACATTCGCTTTTCGTCCTCTCGTTTTCGTAAACAACACCCCAGCCACGAGAAGGCAGTGAGTAGGACTTCCCCGGCAGAGGCTGTATACTCGTGGTCATGTGAGAGTATTTCGAGAGGGAGAGCGGACTCTCCCCACTCTCGGCCATATATATATATATATATATATATATATATATATATATATTCTTTTGTTCTCTTGATATATATACATATATATCTTTGAAGCACTACTGAAGCGTATCCATTAACTCATCAAGCGAACAAAAGAATTTATAGAGTTTAAAAATGACCATTAACTAACATGATGTTGACTAGTATCATGCACACCTGTCAACTAGCAAATTCTTTATAGACAGCTTGTAATATCAAAAGCTTGAAGAAGGCGCATGAATATCACAGAATATAATTTTAGTTCAGTTCATAGTGTTGTTAACCACTGACCCACATTAGATAAGGGACCGTTAACTACGTAGGTGATTATGATCCACTAGGTGTATCTATGTTCTGTGTTTGTAGATTACAACAATAAGACAGAGAATTTGCTCTCATGGTCCAAATGAATTCATCATACTTTGTCTTTTTTAGCATTTTGAAAACTATCTCAACCAATAAGCTCACTTTCCTTAAAATGTGTTTCTATTGTGTCTACTAGTCTTTTTTCTAGTTCTTTGTTAATACTGATAACTTTGTTTTCGTTACGTTATTTTCCTTTCAGTTTAATTATAAAAGGAAATTATGGTGAGAATTGAAGTAACAAAGCAACAATGGACAAGATACAAATTATTATCCCTACTCTTGTCTTAAATTTAAAAAACTACTCACTTTTTATTAAATCAGCAACTGATCCAGCACCACAATATTCCATAGCAAGCTGGGAATTAATTTTTGTTTAAAAACAAAATTAAAAAGCAAACACTTGTTTCACTAAGAGGAAAAACAAACTCGAACAAGGAAAATCACTAAAAAATTTGAAAAACAAAGACATATTCTCCTGTTGTTGCACAGTTAGTCAAAAGAAAAAAGAATCGAGCAACGTTGAAACAACTGTGGTTTTAATTTATTATTCACACACCACTGCGTGATTAACAAATTTTATTTCTTCCCTCCGTGCACTCTTCAAACCTGTCACTCAGTAATATAAAATTAGGACTGATATGATCAATTATTATTGTTGTTTTACGATGGAAATTGAAGCTAATAATTAGTGTTATGACTACGGTGATAATGAGCTCTAGTAATCACATTATCACTAATTTAGATCCGAGTTCGAACGTGGTTACATTCAGAGATAATTTTTTTCTCAGCATGTTATAATTTATATATTTGGGCGAAAAAAGTGTGCATCTAGACATAGTGAGTATATATTTCGATAACAATTAAGTCCACCATTATTTGTGTTAATACTTATGGTTATGGCCACAAAATTTATCGTTAGGGTTAAAGAAAAAACAACCATAGTCGTTTTAATGTCAGTCCTTCCTACAAGCTTTATAGAATAGTTGGATTGTGCCTAACAAAGAAACCTGGGACGAGCGTTTCGTCCTATTTGGGCCGAGTCAGTTGACCGGACCTGCATTCTAGTGTTAGTGTTTATACCAGAACTCGAACTCAGTACATTTTGCTTCAAGCGCTCAACGAGTTATCCATTGAGCTACTTAGTTCAGCTAGCCAGTTAAGGGTGGAACGAGTGTAATTTTCATATCATGATTAGAAGGGGTTTGGATTATCCTGTTATTGATTATTTTGACTGAATTTTGATCAGTCTTTGTCGGTACATGTGCATTTTATGTGAGAGCCTTTTTCTGTAAGAAACTGTATACATTATTCAGTAGAATTGAGAACTTCACTATGACTTAAAAAATAGTAAGTTAATGTTCGCTAATAAAGTTCTTATTTTGTTAAGTGGACAATGGCATTGGTTCTGTTGCTTCTGCACTTGAATACATCTACATTAATTTTGGTAATAGTCTAGTATTACCACTAGCCCTTACGAAAAAAGTGTTACACAAAGACGAATGTATAAACTTGTACCTCATAAATTGAATTTCATTATGAGACAGTGTTTGGTATCATTCGCTCAACGATGCCTCATTGATTTTCTGTGTTTTCTCTTTAGTTAGGCTATATCATTATTATCATGGATAGCAAAGAATAGATGGAGAATCAGTTATAAATTCGTAACAACACAAAGAACTGGAAAGATATTGTGAAACAGTTTGACCATATTATTCCATTGTCTGCTTGTACTCTTACTTTTATACCCAACAGACAATAACAGACAACCATCAATATAATAATGACAACAACGAAGAGGATGAAGTGGTTGATAAATTGATAAACACAGAATTTTTTAAATATTTATACAAACATTATGGGAGGAGTAGAGAAAAAAAACTGGAAATTGTCACAAGCTTACTTTTCATGTTTGCTTTATAAACACAAAATATGTCTGTATGATTATGTGTCCACCACTTACCATCATGGTGAGTGGGATGCATCTACGGATTATTGTATAAATAACACATACGCACGAGAATAATCAGAAATATGTGTGTAAAACTAAAGATAGAGAAATTAAAAGGAATGCACTACTTTGTCCAAAGTATATATACAAGTACCATACTAATGAGTCAAGCTATTGATTGACTTGATATTTTTTGTTCCATTACAAGACAGGTGAATAAAACATGGCAGACATAATTGTTATATACACAACGTAAAGATTAGATGGGAAAAGAAGTACGACATTGTGACTAATGCATTGTTGAGGCTACACATAAAACAATGAATAGCTTGAAAACACTAAGTCTGATTTGCTTTCGACCAACTATAAACACAAAAATTATCTAGGTGTTACTCATAAGGAACAGGATAAGACATGGTTTGACATGAGTTCTGTGGTCGCACAAGTGATATTCAAGTATATGTTAGAAGCGAAGTCAATGATAAAACTAAACAGATGGGAAATCAGGCTACTGAAATGAATATATATATATATATATATATATATATATATATATATATATATATATATATATATATATATATATATATATATATATATACAATAAGGAAAACTATTAACATTGTACACTCCTTGCATATTCCAAAAATTTGTAATGATGAAATCAATTGTATTTCGTACTGTGTTTACATGTACCCTAGCTGCTTGATGCTTAGTTTTCTTGAGTTCACAGGAATTTATGTTCAAGTCTGAATATAAGTGAGAACACCATAAATTGACAGAATAAATATCTATACGAAAACAAGTAGTCAAGGTTAAATTGTAGAAAATGATAAAAAATTTTTGCTTAGTGGTAAAATGAAAGTCTTTTGTAAAATATAACCCTAGGGAATCTATAACAGAATAAAAATGAGTTATCCTGGTAGTCGTTAATATATGGTAACCAGTGGAAAATCAATCTTTGTCCGTCTTCCATTCAATGAGGATATTCTAAGATCTGAAAGAAGAGAATTGACTCAAATGGTACTTTGTTCCAGGTCAATCATTTTTGGTACATGACATCAAATCTTCATTAAGCCAATCAAAATTCTTAATAAGTGAGATTCCCAGCGGACACGAAATAAATTTGTCCAAGAACTTCAACCAACAAATGTCGAATTTACTTAGCTTTTCATAGACTATTGTTATCAAAGATTTCCGACCTGACTTAAATAAATAGGATGAAAGCGTGGTAAACACATTGCATTTTAACTCAGTCGCTAGTGAATCACACATTAAGTTAATTTTTATCCTAATTATATTGCTTAAACACCTAATCACTTATTTTTACTATGGTTATTTATGATCTTACATCCCTGAATTTATGTGAATAGGTTACGCAGATATTAAGATGTATCAATGTCAACTATATTATTTAATTTTGTAATGCTTCTTCACAATTTGACAACCTAATTCGTTTATAGCTTACACCTCAACTCCACTAAATCAAGTATTTTGAACCCAACCATATTTGTTGTAACTGCAGTTGGATGGTAACACTTGACAAAGATTGAAATCATTTTGTTTTATATATTTCATTATTATTGCTCTGTTTATAATAATTTATAAATCGAAAGATTTGTTTAACTAACTAACTACACTAAAACCATCAACAGAATAATATTTATAACAAAACAAAAAAAGTCATTGTAAAAAAAATGAACAAATTCAACCTAGTGATAACTTTGTTAAAAATTTAAAATTGTTATGATTAGAAAAAAAATTCTTACCCAAAGATGATCACGAGGTGAAGATTTTTTAATAAATGCACCATAATAACTAGCAATATTTCGATGATTCGATAACTAAACAAAACAAGAAAATAAGCAACAACAATGAGTACAAAAATAATCTGACAAATTTTAATGTAAAGAATTTAAGAAAACACATCTTACAAATTAATATGTTGATTTTAAACTAACTAAATACAGTTTAGATAATGCTACACAAAATACATTGTTCATTATATTGAACAGTGAATTAGAACAATTGAAATCATTATCATGCATAATGTCTAATGGTACTACTTGATTGATCGAATTTCGGTAAACATAAACAATATTGTAATCCGTGATTCATTGAGTCAATATCAGACAGATAAATCAAGTGGGTGCACAGGATGAAATAACAGGATGAACTAGAAAAGCCATATCGACAAAAATTTATCAAAGTATCAGGAGATAACATTTTCCCCTGTCAAAATTAATATTATACATTGAACGTATGATTATATATAAGCTAAAAATTATTTGATTTCACCTTAAATTCAATGAGTATCGTTGATAACCTTATTTTCTATGATACAGTAACAAAGTACATTATGTATTCCCAAAACCAGAAATAAAAAAAAGATTGGAGATATTTTTCGGTATTACATGACTTCAGAAAATATTCTAGTTGACTCAGCTATATCCCAAAATATGTAGCGAGAAACAACAATAACAAGCACATTAAAATCACAGAAGATACCTACATATATTACCATAGATCTGTGTTAAATTTCGAAGAATGACTTCAAGTAAAAATGATAATAAAGTTGTAACGGTAAATCTGAATCCTTAACAAAGAATAAGTATATTGACAAGCAGTTCATTTTATCTCACTATACAGATATGAAACACGGATCATGGAAGCAGAACAAAACAACAAATGATAAGTGGTCAGTAATGGGTGCCTTCAAAGAACTATTTCAATTTAGTTGCCGAACTATCAAGAAAACAATAACTGTTGAAGAATACAAATCAGTTTATGAGTTTTTAGACGACCATCAACTAACTTGTTAACACATTAACTCATTAAATGAAGGCTGCAGTGAGAGTAGGATGTTAGACTAGGCTATGACTTTAGTTCATAAAATTTTTACCCAATGATCCAAGACACAAGTGAGATAGTATGCTGCCTGACTGACAACCTTAAACTATAGTTATGGTGCACATTAATCCAACATCTATAATTCCCTAAATCTTAAAAACTTTGCTAATCAATAACCATAGTACATTTTTGCTTGTTTCTTTCGTTGATTTATTTTAAAGTTCGTCCTAGAGACTGTATACCTCTTTCCGACGTGAAATATGATAATTTATAAGCCCACCAATACACACTAGATAAAACTTTACTAAATTCGAATACACTAGAGAGGTTACATGTGTTATAAGTGCTTATCTTCTATATTGCACCGACATACGGTGTTGAATGAAACAATAGAGGATATCAAGGATTAAAGTGACTGGAGAAAAATATGAGAACACCTTATAAATTCACAATGACTATTAACCTGGATCGTGTAGTTAACTTAATAAATCCTATCGACAGTACATTTATTTTATTTATTTATTTAAACACATAAACATTGGTACAAGGAGGCACCAAATACATATGCGCCACATAAATCATTCGATTTGTGTGAGGGCTGGGATACTGCCCGGGTACACAAACTGAAGTTTATAAGCAGAAACTAATAATATATAACTTTGAATAAAATCGTGGATTTCAATTTAACGTAATGAGACATACATTTACATTTTGATCCCTAACGTCAGACCTATTGTCACATTAAAGAGGACCTGAGAAGTGTTATAACTTATGGCTTTGTACCCCATTAATATATGACGTAATGATACCGCCAATTAGAGAGCAGTGATTTATCGGCCGGACCAATGACGCATAAACCCGTACGAGCAGTCTAGAGTCTTTATCGGTCCTTCTTCATGCCTAACCCTGCCTGCTAAGTCCAGAACACCAATCTCAGCTTCCACAAATTGATTCATATATTTCAAACATCGCACCATAAAATAGAAAATAACATTTGTACAATATCTAGCGAAAAGTGGCTGAGAATGTGGGAGACTGTATTCAATAGACTGGGAAGAACCCAAGAACGGTAAATCGTATGATAATAGTCTATAGGTCAAAATAAAACTTTTTTAATAAGAGAAACATGAATATGCATAGTTTAGCTACTTAATAATTATGCAATAAAAATATGTGTATTGTATTGATCCATAAATAGTTCACAATGGTTACCATTCATAATTTTCATCAGGATATAACAAATGAACTTTTATAACTGTCCTAAGCAGAATTTGTTGTTTGCATTTTAACCGTATGATTATTCCACAGATGCCTTAGACATATTGCTCACATCTGCTGGGATCACCAGGTAAGTAATAGTGAGGTTAGACGCAGAGTATTAGGGAATGATGGTACATCAATTGATGAGGTTTTGAATCTTCATCGACTGAGATGGTTGGTCCACGTGCTGCGTATTCCTGAACACCGATTACCACGACGCTTAGTGCTGACTAGTGTTGGAAATGGTTGGGAGAAAGTAAGGGGCGGACAAAGCAAAACGTGGCATCAGTGCTTGAAGTCACTAACTTCTGGTCTGAGCCATGTTGGTAGATGCAGACTACCTGGTTAGGGTCCGCGTGACTATCGTAACCAATGGTTGGAGACTGTGTGTGACATGGCTCAGAATCGATTACAATGGTGTCGGTGTACACACTCTCTGTCTTCCTTCAAACTAAGAGACTAAAATCACTTTACATCTTTCTTTCTACGAACTAATTCTTTCTTCCTGTACTATGTCCTTATATGCAATCTTTCTGTTAAATATGATCACCACTGAATTAACTACTTCTATGAATTCGGTGTTCATCTTGTTTTGTTAATCAGGTATGGCAACTTGGACCGATGCATATATATGCCTGGTCCTACGCTGTAGCTGACTGACTGTATGATTATTAGACGCTAGGACTAATGTATTTTTTATATTTACCTAATTAAAAACATTCATTTGACCTAGGAACCACCGCTTTGTCTTATTTTTCCAGATTTATTAGTAATTGATAATTTCCCTATTACTCCACTTGCATTACCTATGACTGAGCGGTACATGCACTGTGATTTTTTGTTAATGCATAGTAAGATATTCGAGGTGTATTATACAAGTCCTAAGTCATGAATGAATAAAGTACAATAGAGAAATCTACTTGCTAACTTTGTCTTCTAACCGGATACTGGTTTGAAAGGGACTCTTGAACCAATAGGCGTTAAGGTCTTGGTAAATAGAAGCTTAACGGTCTTACAGGTAATATAGGCGAATAAGTCAATAATCGAACTAGACAATACAACTGACACCATAATAAACAGTCTGATCACAAGGGCCTCAACACAATTCAAGAAGATATTCTTTTTTGAAGATGCAACATATAATAATAGAATATTATTTATAATTTATTTCACAGATCATTTTTGATCAACTTAATAAATATTGCTTAGCTTCCTTCGTGGATTTAATTTCAGTTTCAAAGTGGGGCTTATGTAGTATATTAGGTTTTACAACATCAGCCGATATCAGGAATGTAGTTTCGTTCTATGTATGCTACTGTTTAACATATTACTAAACTTTAAACATAAAGTTTATCTTAATCAGTCCCATATCTGTCAGAGGTTCTGTTAGCGGGACATGGATTGGATTAAATCATGCACAATGCACGCTTGCATTGGCGCACGCTGATTGGCTAATTCTTGTCCAATCAGCGCTAGTCGATACTTGGAGAATACTCTGGAAATATTCTCATGTAAAAACTATAAATATACTAACGTTTTTCTTATTGTGCTTTTTACTTCCATCGAATCTTGTTATTTGGAATATAATCTCTTTCCTATCAACCGTGTTCTGATTTGGGGACTTGTCGAGTGAATTGGTGTCCGAGAATACTAAGCAATAGGAATAGCTGGGTTGTAATAAAAGAGAATTATAACAGGTTCAATTCAATCAAAGAATACAACCGAACATAAAAACACAAATGAATAAAAATAAAAATACCTAATACGTACAAACTACCTGCAAGTTTCATAATTTTATTTGTATTTTGAAAATATAGCTGGTAAAAAAATTCTAAGCCTTACGAAAGGTAACAGGGGGACTTGGTGCCAGTGATTAGCATTTGGTTTGACAGACAGATGACTAGTGGGGTGTCATACTATGTACCATACATAAAATATCTATTTCATACTGAACATATCTCTAAGGAAAGATTCATGTTTCTAGTGTCAAACATAGCAACTTATACAGTACTAATTCCATTACAACGTTAGTCCCATCAAGTGTTATGTCTACAGAATTTGTCATGTGAAATTGTTCTGATACCTGAGACTTGATAAAAACACAAGTTACAAACTGAATCAACGCAAGGATAACGGCAAAGTGTTTATTATTTTATGACAGATTTTTGTCTTACTTTATATGCTGTCTATTTATATGTTGTCTCCGAAGGATTGCTGTCATTCAGTGACAATATCATGTTAGTAATGCAGGGGTTCGGCATCGTATGTCTGGGCAGTGACGATAATTCAATTAGTGTCAATATCTTGAAACATCGACTTCGGTGGCTTGGGCATGTCCTACGAATGACATCCCAGAGAATTCCACGTCGTGCATTGTTTTTCGACAGTGGGACTGGTTAGGAAAAACGGAGAGCTGGTCAGTGTACGACATGGTGTCGCGATATGAAAAAAGCTGTAGTGAACTGTCTTCTGTTGGTCCTTCACGACTCCTTGGTTGGGGTCCTAGAAATCTTGCAACACAGTGGCTAGAGACGTTATCAGACATGGCTCAGAATAGAAGCCAGTGGAGATTTTATTGCAACCCTCTTTTACTATGTTCATAAACAATGAACGTAACTTCTATAATTGAAAAAATCCTTTCTGTTTATGTCATTGCTAACTGAAATGTTTCTCCAATTATTATTATTATTACTATTATTATTATTATTATTATTATTATTATTATTATTTCCCTCTTATACGCTAACTTCTGTTCGTTGTTGTTCTTCCTTTATTATACACAATTAACATTCTTATCTCTTCACAACCTTATTGTTATCGTGTGTAGCATATGTATTTGGTGACCCCCTTGTACCAATGTTTGTGTTCAAATAAATAAATATATGCTTGCAACACAGTATGCTTATCTGTTGATAAAAAAATTGTTAATAGATTCAAAATGAAAATTGAAAAAGGCTGTATAAAATGACCAGAATAAAAAGGTGTTTTAATATGAAAGAGCATACAGAAAACTATCGATTTGCGCAAAAGTAAACCCTTTAGGTAATAGTTAAAATGAATAATTCACGCTGAAGCAATTGATCAATAGACTAAGCTTCTGATTACAACTAACTAGAACAGACCTCGGGATTCAGTGTTTCGTGATGTCATCAGTACATATGAAATTAGGAAATAGATTCGAGCGCATCAGAATTAGGTAACAGTTGAATAAATGCATCAACCCTAATGAAGTAAGCGAATTTCAACTACATGCATGCTTAGAAAATGAGCCAAAATACGATGGAACGGTTGTCTGACGACCAATTGATAGTTTCCAAAATAACCTCAATCTTACTCAATTTTATCAGGCTTCAAAACATAATTATTTAATCTATAGATGAGACGAAAGACTAACCTTTTTTAACGTATCAATTTCCAGCTTAATTTCTTCTTCATCCTCTTCAGTAATTGGCATAACCTTGATGGCAGCTAGCTGACCAGTGCGCGTGTATCGTCCCTTGTATACATTTCCATAAGTGCCTTTACCCACAACTTCGATGAGTGAAAAAATTCCCGATGGATCACGTAAATCATCCAAATTTGTTATATCTAATCCACTATTGTTGGACATATTGATACTGATCTTTAATTCCCAAGGTAAAAACAGCAGTTAGCTAGACCGGAGTCTCCAGATCACTTGAAGTATGTTTTACTGGGGCAAAATACAGAAAATGAGGCACTCATAAGAATATGTATAACATGAGTATAAAGAACAATTTGGTGATTAGAAAGTTGGATTTTTGTGATCTAATCGATTAATAACTATTGATATAAACTGTATTTATACAGATCACCTTTAAACATTGATATTGCATGATAGAGGATAGTTCAGAGGATAACTTGCTGCTTAGTTTAGTCAAGCTAACATGTACTATTTTATAATAAATTGCTTTTTGATGTGGAAACAAGGTGGGTGCGCTAGACATATATTTTGTCACAACTGTTCAAAATTACAGCAAACATACTAATGTAGGTCAACATGTATCGAATCATCATTTCCCGTAGCAGTTACTTCTGAACAACATAAACTGAACGGACAATACAAGTCATGAATACGGTGACAAGATGAAGGATCCTTTGTTATCTACTAGTTTCGCATTACAGAACGCCAGATAGTGCAAAATAACTTGGTTTACATCAAAATATCTTAGGGATAGAAAGTGAGATGTTCAAGACTATCACAATTAGTATAAGAAAAGAGATGCGACATCAAGTTCTGAGTTTCAGATGTTGTTCATATCTATGTCAGGTAAAAACGGAAGGTTACTTAGTAGCCCATCGACTAATATAGTAAAAATACGATAGAACTTGTAGTCATTATCTTGTTAGTCCGAATCGTATAGAAAAGTTAAGGCATCCTATACAGGGTTACCAAGAAGACGAAAGTCAGAGATTAGAGACACTAGATTATAGCTTATAACCTGTTACAATGATGCAGATATGTTCACTCTTAATTTTAAATGTTCCATTACTCGTTATTCCTTCTCTCTTCACGATCGGATATCTTTTATTTTGATAATCATTAAGATGCTACTGACTATGATAACATGATTTTGTACATTTTCTCAGGGTTCTAGATTATAATGCCTATCTGTTAACTAATTAATTGATTGGTGGTACACTACTGTCTACTAGTTTATGATAGTTTATAGACACATGACTAAGCACGAGTTGATTAGTCCTTTAATGATACGAACAAATAATCACATGTCTGACCATTTTTCTCATAATAACTGAATTAAATCTAAAATCCTTTCTTTTACTTAGGGTCTTTAAAGAGAAAAATTGCAATACTTGATTGATTTTCTTTAATGTGATGAAAAATATGTTAGCCATTTTTACAAAACTCATAAATACTTATCTTAACAATAATGTAGGATTGACAGTGCAACCAGCCGACATAATTTCAATAAATGAAACAATTAGGTTAATAAAATGTTAAAAAGTTATTAAATATAGATTTTGTACAAATTGTACCTAGGTATTTATATAGTAAACCAAACACTAAAACGAAAATAAATCGCACTCCATTAAAACCAGACGACTATAAACGAAAATTGAATGAATAGAGTTTGAATATTTTAGAAAGCAGGCTTAAAAAATTTAGGAATTCTAATGTATTTGATTTAAACTTCTACACTAACTGGATTGATAAGAAAGGACTCCTAGTAACAATCAATGACTTCGTAAACTGATGCGATAATAAAAACTTATTTACCATTACCTACACTTCGGCCAACTAGTCAGTCATATACATCACTTTATCTCAACAATCATACGTGCATTAGGTTGTTAACCATTACAAATGATCGACTCTCTACCTAAAGCATTTCACACATTACTGATAATACTAAATGATCAAAACTACCCTTCAAAACAACGATAAAGATGCTCGAAGAATTAATATAACAGTGACCATGTATGGACCACTAAACTACAAACTAATTAAATGTTTATAAGACAACTGAAATTAAGTTCCCCGAGGAACTACTATTTTTAGTGCAAAAAATTAAAACCTGATTAACAGGTAAAAATTTTAGCTTGATTAGAACGGAGGCAATTCATGATCAGAAGTCAACTACAAAGAATCAATCTATGTTCTCTTCCCACTTCAGTTGTCATTCACGCAAAAATTAAGGCGTACTTCGGTGAAACCAAGTGACTTTGCAGAAAACCATATCTGTATCCTTAAGGATACCAAAAGTATTTATATAAATTAAAGAAACTCATAATTGTCAAAAAAATTTCCTGTTTCATTAAAGATCTTTGAGAAAACTTTACTTAAAAAACGGAATGATGAAATTGCTTAAAATCAATAGACTTTAGACGTGCAATAATGGAATTCCCTCATTTCTCTCAAGACATAGAAATTAACTAGTTCTGTGTTGTGGTGTAGAGGACGCTTGAAAACTCTGAAAACCACCGGACAAAAAGTGAAAAGTGGTAGTATTTAATTAATGAAAAATATAATAACGTCAAAGCGCATTTAATAAGACGTCATGAAAACGAAATAATTAGACTTCAATTTAAAAAAAACTAGGAAACATGATGATTTTGAGTGGCACAGAAATGAAAATAAAACTTATCGACCAACAAGGCGAAATGCAGCTTTCAAACCGAAAAATATGAAAATAATCAGGCTTCTGTAATTATTCCCGTATGTAGACATAAAAATATATTTGCGATAATCGTTAGTGGTAAACATCAAAAGCAAAACTTATACGAAATGGAGGTCGCAAAAGTAACACTATGCAACTGTCGAGACTTCTAAGAGGCGAATTAAAAACAAATAATATTACGGACTTAGCGGTGAGGTTAAATAAAAGGCTCCAAGTTAGAAATCCTAGTCAGTTGATAAAGCTGTTAAGCAACATCGACTTAGGTGATCATGATATGGCCTACGTTCTTTAAAGTGGTTAAACTTATGAAACGAATGCAGGGTCCCAACTTTAAATCAATATTCTCAATCTGTACCAACCTAAAGGGCTAGTCCACAAGGCAGTGGAGCATCGTGAGGAGATGCAGTCCCATGGAAGCCGGTGACCAAAAGTTGGTTCATACGCCATTTGTTCCTTCAGGATACTGGAGCCCATGTGCACCATAGAATTGGGATCCGGTTATAGCGCCGGACATTCGCTTTTCGTCCTCTCATTTTCGCAAACAACACCCCAGCCACGAGAAGGCAGTGAGTAGGACTTCCCTGGCAGAGGCTGTACACGCGTGGCCGTGTGAGAGTATTTCGAGAGGGAGGGCGAACCCTCCCCGCTCTCGGCCATACCAGGGCATTTGGGGGCAAAACTGAAAGCCCGTCGCCTGCCGGAACCCGGGATCGAATCGGGGACATTTAGATCTTCAGTCTAACGCTCTCCCAACTGAGCTACTCCATTTTGTCTTATTACGAGCTTTCAGTTTGATTAATGTTAGTGCTTAGTTTTGTTTTACATAGTGTACTGATAGTTCAATTTAGTGGCTTGATAAGGTTCCCGATTATATTTTACCAACTTCGATATAACTAACTAAACTGATCAGTTAGTAGTTAATGAAATTATAATGGATCGATGCCCGGCACCTTCACATTGCAACAAACAGTTGCCACACTTTTCTCTCCAAAACTAACTCAACACTACATTCACCGTACAGTTCTACAATAGATAAATTTGCCAATATTAAATATCTTAAGAAACAAACATGAACAATTTTGACTGAGCTCTTGATGAAGTACAAGCTATCCGTCCGTGTCCTGAAATTCATGAGAAATCCGTCATTTTTAACCTCATCGCTCCGTCCTTTAAGCACAGTTCTACTGCCTTAATCTCAAATGTAACCCCAGGTTTCCTACACTAATCCTAACTCCAACGGTAAATATTATTCTTAAATCCGCAATACACACAATGCCGACCCTAGTTATGACCCCAAATTATGGATCCTAGAACCATAATCCTGACTGTAAATCCTAATCCTCAGTTTATATATCACTCCTTCATACTTTGACCAGCTGAATGTAGTCAAGAATTATATAGTGTCGCTCAAGTTCGTCCTTACAGTCTAGTTTTACCAAATGCACTAATGAAACCATCTAAACTTTATTACCAGATACTTTGAAGATTCGTTTGAATGTGCTTACTAGGTATTTAATTACAGTTATGGTACAAGAGAGCAGCAGGCCCTGACAGGTTTACCCCTGAGATTTTTAAGGATGGCGGTCCAGTATTAGCAGCGAGATTGACTGAGGTCTTAGGTAGAATCTGGGAACTGGACGTAATCCCATCTGACTGGTCTCAATCACTGATTGTACCAGTCTATAAGAAAGGACAAAAGTCCTCCTGTGACAATCACAGAGGAATTAGTTTGACTAATATAGTGTCTAAAATATTAGCTTCAATAATACTTCGACGTCTAACCAAAGCTCGTGAAGAGCAGACTAGAGAAAACCAGGCTGGTTTTCGACCAGGACGTGGTTGCATTGATCAAATATTCACATTACGTCAGGTCCTAGAACATAGACACACATTCAGACGCCCCACAATGGTAGTATTTCTCGACCTTAAGGCGGCATTTGACTCTGTTGATCGTAAGGTTCTATGGCAATGTTTGTCACTGAAGGGAGTACCAAAGAAGTACGTCAACCTTATAAAGGCTCTCTACTCGAACACAACTGGTCGAGTGAGAGCTTATGGTGAACTGTCATCAGAACTGATTACCTCAAGTGGTGTTCGTCAGGGCTGTCCACTCTCTCCATTCTTGTTTAACTTTGTCGTTGACGTCCTTTTAGAGATGACACTTTCCTCATCTAAATTTCCAGGAGTTGAACTTCTACCGGGAGATCCACTTGTTGACTTAGAATATGCCGATGACATAGTTCTATTTGGTGAAGACGCTGACAGAATGCAGAGTCTGTTGACCACTCTAAGCAACAATGCAAGCCTATTCGGCATGCGATTCTCTCCCTCGAAATGCAAAATGTTACTTCAGGATTGGGTTGCGTCGACACCCGGACTAGTGATAGGGAGTGAAGTAGTTGAGCGTGTCGACCGCTTCACTTATCTCGGAAGTCTCATCAGCCCTTGTGGTTTGGTGTGTGACGAAATCTCAGCACGGATACAAAAGGCTCGACTAGCTTTTGCCAACTTGCGTCATTTATGGCGTAGGCGAGATATCCGTCTATCAACCAAAGGACGTATTTACTGCGCAGCAGTTCGTTCCGTCCTACTTTATGGCAGTGAAACATGGCCGGTAAGAGTAGAGGATATTCGTAGGTTACTAGTATTTGACCATAGATGTCTTCGAAGCATTGCTCGTATATCCTGGGACCACCGAGTAAGTAACTCAGTTGTTAGGAAACGGGTACTAGGTAAGGATGGCAAATCAATTGATGAAGTAGTGAAACTTAATCAGTTGAGATGGCTGGGACATGTGTTGCGCATGCCCGACCACCGACTGCCCCGACGTGCTATGTTTTATGGTGTAGAAGTAGGTTGGAAGAAAGCTAGGGGCGGCCAGACCAAAACATGGCACAAATCCATGAAGTCACTGACAAGTGGACTGAGTCATGTTGGTAGGTGTAGACTACCTGGTTGGGGACCGCGAGACGATAGCAACCGATGGTTAGAGACCTTGAATGGCATGGCTCAAAATCGTTTGCAATGGCGCAGGTGCATCCACTCTTTGTGTTCTCTCAAACTCTAATCTTCTGAATTCTTCATGTCCTTTATTTTCTTTCCCAATTTATTCCACTGGACTATACTCCTTTAATAACATCATCAAACCTTAATGTTCCCTATCTCTACTTATACTTTCAGTACCTCTACCACTATGGGATTTGAATCGATAACTGAATCTCTGTGCTAATGTGGTATGGCAACTCGAACTGATGTACGTACGTACGAAGTTCCACGTTGTTACTGACTGACAAGAATATGTATAGATATCAGCATAACTTAACGAGATAATAAAAAACCCAAACATGACCGGCAAATAGCTGATAAAATACAATTAACTACAAAAACGTCTTATCACTGTTACAAGGCATGCTACCGGATCCTACTTTTGAGACCACGTAACAGAATATACTGCTTAAGAGCGAATAGCTATATATATCAAGGTTTGTGCATTTAATGAGTATTAGTAACGGGAACGAGTCCGAAATTCCCAGCTTGCTGAAAAAGACTGGTTGTCTACAGATTTAACGACATTTTAAGTAAAATTATTGATGGCTAAGACGTGGAACAAAATCTCGGTTCCGTTACAGACTATGATGAAAGATTTCAACAACGCAGTCTGAAGTTTTAGAAGATTCTCATAGTTTTCAGAGAAGTAAAAGATGTAACTTAACCGTATCGTAATCTATATAAGACTTTGGATGTTTATACCGTTAACACCGTAATATTAGGTTCACGAACCAAAACTTGACGAATGGTCATGACGTAGAAACAAATCTATTTATCTGGTAATCAAAAGCCAAAGTAGTCAGAAACAATCCATAAAATAAACACTAAGAATCCGCTAAGTATTTCCCGTTTCTCGTCCATTTTCCATGACTTGAGGATATTTTAGTGATGTCAACAGGACAAGATTTTTTCGGAATGATTAGTCTCTAGGCACAAATTTTTTTAATCATATCGCTATGTGAATATAACCGGCTGAAAACGTGGAGAATAGATTTTTTATGCCTCATAAATTACAAGTACATTATGTAGTTACAAAAATTGGTTAAGCGGTACCACAAGAGAACGAAATGACAAGATGAAACGTAAACACTCAGACTCACAAAAGTATGTAAGGACATAAGGATGGCATACACTCAACATTATAATTACTCCTGAACATAGACAGTTAATAGTTAATACTTTCAGCAAGGAAAGAAGCAAACACTTTTACACATGGCGCGTAGAAAAGTAACCCGACATCGTCCTCGAATACTGTCAATTACTGGGATTTCCCTCCAGTATCACCTATATTTGTGTAGAGCTAATTAAAATCTGCCGAATTCCTTATTTCTGCTACTTGACTTTGTGGCGAGGTTCTAAATCCTTGTTATCGTTCAATGAGGATAATTTAGCAACTTGGTTAAATTAAAAATGGTTCAAATGGTTGTGGACGGAATAGAAGGAGCTTTCGCTTAACAGGCTTCCGTGTATAGTACCAGGGGATCACCGTTACTTCCAGGCAGGAACCCAGGTATATTAACGATAAAAGAGAAAAAATGAATTGGTAAATCATAGTAAGATACTATCTTTAGTCCTTAAGAATAGATCAAGTCGCCTCTTAAAGGACTCCTGGGAAGTCTCTTGGACTTGCTCGGCGGGCAGCGAATTCCAGCATTTGACAACTCGTAAGGAGTAGAAGTTGTGTCTACAGTCTGTTCTGCTATGGTTGTATCTCTAATTTCTGGGTGTTATCCCTTAGGTTAGTATTGGGAGTAAGCTCAAGTAGGTGTTTGAGAGAATGTCCAGAAGTGTTGAGGATACTGTAAGCCATTAGAGGGTCACCTCTAAGATGCCTATACTCTAATGGTTAAAGGTTAAGTGATTCGAGGCGCTCTACATAAGGTTTAAATTTGAGCCTTCGAACTGATTTCGTGGCTCACTGTTGGATACGCTCCATAGTGTCCTTATCCTTTTGGGGTGAGGGAGGAAGTACTATGTTTCCGTGCTCTAAATGGGGACGAATAAAACTGTTGAAGATTATGTGTAAAGTTCTTCTGTCAAACTGGCTAAAAATGCGCTTCAATGTTACCAGTGCATGGTTTGCTCGAAAGGCATTTTTGTTACAGTTAGCGTAAGATTTCAAATCGTAGGGCATCAGGACTCCCAAATCTTTTTCGACTGGGGATACTACCAGAGAGGAGTTTCCTAAGTTGTAAATGTAGTCTGCGACATGTCGCAGATGGACTACTTTACACTTTGAAGTTGAGTCAGACCCTCCTGAAGTGCCTGCATATCGTCTTGGTTACGTATCTCTCTCCAAAGTTTCACGTCATCGGCAAAAATTAATAAGCCTGACGTTACCTGTTGAGAAAGATTATTTATATAAATCAAGAAGAGAATAGGTTCTAGTACCCAGCCATGGGGTACTCCACTAGGACATTCCATATCCTGAGATCAATTGAAGTTGGCCCTAATCTTAAAATGTTGATTTTTCAGATCGAAAATGGGACAATCAATTAGAGGTGATCTTCTACATAATTGTCTGAGCTTATTGATAAAACATATATGGTTAACCCTACCAAAAGCTTCCGAGAAATCAAAGTAAATGATATCAACCATCATCTTTGATCGAGGATGCTTGTCCATCTGTCCACCGCAGTGAGCAGGTTGGTCATACATGAATAACCCTTCCTGAAACCGTGCTGTTGTGAGAAAAAATTTAGGGACAGTAAATAGTCATGTATATCATCGTATATCAGGGACTCCATGATTTTTGAAGGTATGGAGAGAACAGCCACCGGTCGGTAGCTTGAAGGTTCGCTGCGTCGACCTACTTTGAAAATTGGTGTGATATGAGCCAGCTTCCAATTTTTCGGTAGTTTGCCCCGACTTAGCGAGTGTGAGAACATCACGCTAAGCGGTGTTGCCAGGATTGAAGCTGCTTCCCTCAGTATGGAAGAATGGACCACATCTAGGCCAGGAGAAGTGTCTGTTCTCAAAAGCTACAGTTTCCGGAACACCAAGTCAGCGGTCAGGTTCACTACGGAAAGCCCTGTGCAGTTGCAGATGAGGCTGTCATAATTATAGTTGATGTGGGTCGGTTGAAAGATCCGGAAGTATTGCTCAGCCAAAAGGTTGGCGGCGTCGCCGTCGTTATCGATCGGACCGTTAGGACCTAGCAGTTGAGAAACTCCAGTTTTGACTTGACGAAGAGAGGCTGCGTAATGGAATAAGCTTTTCGGATTGGAGACAAATTTATCGATAAGCTTTATGTGGTGCTGAAGCCTGTCTTCTCTTATAACCTTCGTGCATATGTTCCTTATATGTTTGTGTTGCCCGTACTCACTGTTGTTGTCAGTTCGTTTGTATTCTGCCCAACAGTGCCTTTTAAGGCTTAACAAACGAAGAGTGCTGTTCATGGTGATTGTAGGTTGATTGTAGCTTTTGGGGACCGTTTGAGGAACTGACTGCTTTGTAGCACATAAGAGCGTGTGCAGTAAGAAGTCCCAATGAGCATCCACATCAAGTTGAGAGTGAACATCTCAATCCACCTGTTGTAGATAGTCCTGTAGAGCTAGCACATTCAACCGTTTGAAATTCCAGCGCCTGCTGTTGGTGGGATATCTTAGCTCATTTTTGTTGACAAAACTAAGGGATATAAGGGCGTGATCGCTTTTCCTCAGAGGAGCCGGTATTAAGAGGTTGTCAACTAGAAATTCTTCGTTTGTACATACCCAGTCTAAGCGCGACAGTGTCTGACTGTTTCTCTAACGAGTCGCCGACTTCACATTTTCGAGTAATTCCAGATCCTCAATGAGTTTGAAGAACCGAGCTCCAGTTAAGTCTTCACCTCAAATGTACGTATGTTCCGCGAAATTGACTCGAGGGAGATTGAAGTCTCCTAGAATCAGGATATGACTGGAATCGAGATGCGTAAAGCGGGATTGTCCTTCCAGCATACGACTGTCATGCTCGATGTCAGAAGTGGGCTTAATATATATGGCTCCGACTAGGCACCTTAAATTAGTAGACAATCTCACAGGTCGCCATATGGATTCCTCAAGATTGTTAAACTCATGTTTGTGAGCTTCGTGTAACTCCAAGCTAGATCGTATAAATACGGCTAATTCACCCCCAATTCCTGTTTTTCTGTCGTTGCAAAACAAAGACGTCCCAGGTATTGCTAGCTTCTGGTTCGAAAACTGAGAAGATAACCAAGTTTCAGATATTCCTATCAAATGAACCTTATTAGCATTGCTAAGTTCACGTAGCTCACCCATTTTGTTTGGTAGACTCGTGGTGTTCATGTGTAAGCAGTTTATGCTTTCAATTTGAAACGCGTGAGCTTCTTATTGTTAGATCTAACGGTCTGTATGAGCCTTACGTGAATGGACAGGTAGCCTACCTATATAAGGTTTGGCGAGTTGGTAAGCCATGTTATTTACACGTCTTTTTTATCATCAAAACAGTCCATAAGTGGAATGGTCAGCTCCAACTTGCCTTTGTGCTTGATTCTGACATCATGTGACCTGTCCGGGTGCGTATGGATCGCATTTGGCAACCAACGTCTGTTGTCATGAAATGCTTTCAGAGTTGCAGCCGCCATATGAGAGGATGTGAAAGTTATCCTCATTAGCCGGGGTCTAGAATCACCATCCTCCTTGGTTAGTCTCGTCACATGTTGAATCAATATGTTCTTGGGCCTCGAGGACTGTTAGGTGAATTTCCATTCCACAATATCAGAGTTTGTCTGATTATTGTCCGCGTTTTTCGGTACACGTTGCACAATGATATTTCTTTCGCGGAAAAACTTCTCGCGAGATTCTTTAGGGATGTTCCGGGTGAGATCGCGCTCAAAATACGGTATGTCGGGCAGTAATCTTACGTTCCCATCGGATTTCAGCAAATGACTAGCTAGCAGGACATTCTCTACGTCGGTAGCATCCTTAAGTGTTACATGAAGTAGCCTTGAGTGATTCACCTCAGAGCATCTTGTCACTTTTGTTCCTGCAAACTGTGAGGCAGGTCAGGGTTGTCTTTGAGGTTCATGATTATGAGAGGGTCATCACGAACCGTTATTGTTTTCCCAGGTTTTCCGGTGCGTTCAGGTTCAACATCTTGTTGTTTTGAGTTTGAAGCACGTTTCTGAATGCTAAGATTTTTGATGACCGGATGGACATTCTTGGGGGTAGACTGTGAGGCCAAGTCATCAGTTTGTTTCCGAACAATACTTGGGATGTTCAGCTCAGGCGGGGACGTCTGGTCCTTTTTAGCTCTGTTAACGTGAGTCCAATCACCTACAGAGTTTTTGGGAACCACTGTTGCATTCAGGGACCCTGGGCTGGGAGACCCAAGTTTACTGAGGGGGTCTATTACCGTCAACGTAATAATGGTGCTGAGTTTCAATACGTCACCGTTAGTGCTAATCCATGCTCCATCGATGGTAGACCTACCGAAACCCCTATCTTTGTTTTCGTTTCACTGGATCCGACAGTTATTTAAAGGTTAGTGCTTACTAAGCACAAATAAGCACGTTCGTCTCGCATAAGTTTAACAGTTACTACCAGTTGACGCTAAGTTGCAAGTTGGTTGTAATACGAAATGTTTCAAAACTGGGATAGAAAGAAGTTGAGAAAGGTACGAGTGTGATTGAACGTTTACTGATTATCGGTTAGGTAGGGCGAATTCAAAGCTATGCTCTCCACTCACCTGTCCAGTGGAGTAAAGTTCATTTTGAACACTTGTGGCATTATGGTCTAATCCGGTATTAGCACATTTATCTTTGTTACCACGACAATACATCTAATCCTAAAATTGTATATTTGTCTATGTGAAAGGTATATAAACAACTAAAATACATAAAAAGTGTGTAGCTAGGAAGAAGGATATATCAACAAAGAAGAAAAAATTAGAGAAAAGAGTTAAGAGAGGATAGGTGAAGTTATCATGGATAATAATAAACGATGTTGGTGGCGATTTTACTGGATGGATTGAGAAGTTGAATGATTATGAAAACGTCGTATCCGGTTAGTATGTGCAACTTTAATTCTGCTGCGTGCTATAGATAGAATACTATTGGTTTCTACAAAACTGTCGTACTTCTAAAACTGGTCATGGAAGTGACTGATGACAAGGCTACTAGAAGAGCGTTTCAGATACGAAAATATTGTAGTGATTAAAACCGACTCCATGTGAGTATCAATATGGAGAGAAAATCAGGAGTAGCCTAACGAAAAGATTAATCGATAACAATCAGAATAGATAACAGTTC